GCTTGAGCGCCGTGGCGGAGCGGGGGGCCCCGGACCCAGGCGAAGGTGCCCGGCTCCCCGACCGCAGTCGCTGGAGGGAACCGGAGAGCGGTCGCCAAAATGTCAGCGAAGGACTTTCTGAGAGGGCTGCACCTGGAGGACGGAGGTGCCCCTTTGTTTTGCGCCTGCTCTGCTGTAACGGGGGGTAGCGGGTGTCGAGGAGCTGTGCGGGGCGGGCAGCGCTGGGGAGGGAGCTGAGGGCGCGGAGGCTGGCGCTCTCCTTGCTGCCCGCGGGTGCACCTTCCCCGGAAGCCTTGGTCCGCTACGAGCGAAGCGCTAGAAAGAAAAGCGAAGATGCCTTGCTCTAAGCACGACCTGCTCGTGCGCTCTCCTTTCTTTTTCTTTCTTTCTTTTTTTTTGTTTTTTTGTGCTCTTGAGTGGGGTTGGCAAGTTAGCGCTGGGGCTTGACAACAGCTGTAAAGGTCCCGGAGAGCGACGCCTCCACGGCGGTCAGCGGCAGTTCCGTCAGGAGCGCTGTGAGGGAAGTTTTCGCTGCAGAAGGACTGAATAGCGATTTCAGCATTTAGTCCTTGAGTAGCTGATCAGCTTTACATTTCATCAGTCCTGGCACCACTCCATGGGGTTAAATGTATTTATGTACGGTCTGGCTTTGAATGACTTCACTAGATGGAAACATTTTCTTCTGCATCCCTCTGCTATTATCTCCTACCTAAATCAGAATTACGCCCTATCCATACCTAAACTAAAAATCCTCAAACATAATTGTTGTAAAGAAAATAAAGATTGTCGTCTTTGTTGCCCTTCCTTCTACACCTTTTGTAATATCACAAGGTCTGCAAGGAAGTGTATTATTAATGTTAATAATCTTATCCTTGTGGAGGTTTTTCCTTTTTTGGGTTAATTTCCTTTCAGAGCTCAGAAGAGGATGGTTCTCTTTCTCTTCCAACAATAGACCTAGGAGGTATGTCAGAGATGGAACAGAAAAAAGGACAATAATCTGAGCAATGTGATAGTTATATACATTGGTATAAAATATCACATGAAGAGCATCTGGAGGCACCAAGGTCCATACTATTCATTTATGCATTAAAAAAAAAAATGCAGCTTCCAAAGCCATGTTTAAAGACAAATGTCGTATCCCTTCAGGAAGACAGAATGATGTTATGCATTACAGATGTTTCCTTGGAAAGAATAGCAGGCAGCTGATGCCATGGAGGATGACTAGACGCAGATGAGAAAAATCCAGAAGACTTCACACCCTTTAGTTTAAAAAAAGGTCTCACTGTTGCTTCTTTTATTTGGTTTACCATATTTATAGCTCTTTTCAAAATTCTTCCGTCTGGTTCCCAAAGTACTTTGTGAGGATCTTGAACCAGTATGTCACAGTTCGGCAGAACGTGGCATTTTACTGCTAAGGACCCAACCGTGCTCTTACTGAAGTCAATTCCAAAATTCCTTGCAAGTTCAGTAAAAACTTAGTTTACGTGAAAAATGCCAAGAACTGCCCGTTTTGAGTTTAGTTATATTTCTTCAGTCTTTTCAGAATGTTTTTTTTCTTTTCAGAAAAAGGTAGCCCCTGTTAAGGTGGACACAGCTACCACTGAATCATAGCTAATACTTTACAGTCGAAAGGTCATCTGCTTCTGTCAGACTTCGTGGTAGATTCCCAGTGACCTCAAGAGGCCAAAAACCTGTCCAAAAGCTTTCATGAAGGGGATACCACAGACCTAGAGAACGTGTGAGAATGCCTAAGGTGGAACATGGAAATAAATCAGCCCATTTGCCCAGAAATAAAGACAATTATAATTTTAACCCTGAAGCACGTTCCTTTCTTATAAGAAGCAAAGAAATACAAGTAAGGCAATGTTATGATGAAGTTTATAGCTAGAGAAGGACAGACTATTCAGAGAGGATCTCACTGCATCTGTTGCTTTCTATTCTTGCTAAGGAAGCTCATACTCAGTTATTACGCACCTGCAATAACTAGATACAATAGCATGTGCAAAGCTTTATCTGCAAACCCCCGACTGTCCTAGGTTTAATATTAAGACTTATCCGCAAAGTTAATTGGTTAAACTTTGTGCATGTGTGCATTTGAAACTACTTTATATTTTGATATTAATGCTGAAAATTTGAAAAAAAAAATGCCCGTGCAATTACACTATCCAACACCAGTCTAAACACAGTTTTCTAGTTTAAAATAATATATTTTGGTGTTGCATTTCCTTCTAAAATGAGAGATATCTGGGTAACATTACTTACCTGTGCCTTGAAAGCAAGTAAACCAAATTCAAATATATATATAAGTTATCATGATTACCCAAGGAAATCATGGATGAGTACCCTGTACACAGAGCTAGTATAAGTCCAGTAGAATTTAGTACTTTGGCATTGCTAATAACCTGTAATGTACTCATGCCTCAAAAGAGAGACTCACCTCAATGCTTGGAAACAACTGTTGCCACATGATTTTTACCTGGCATGTAGTTACAGTGTTCTTCAGGATATGTTGTTCATGATACTTTACTACATATCTAATTTAAAGCTCTGGGTAAAAGTGGGTTAACTATTTTTCTTTATTTTATAAATGGGGAAACAAACCAAGAGAGGGTGTCTTGCCAGAGGTCACCCTACCAATCAGTGGCAGAAGTAGGAATAAAATACAGATCTCCAGAATGCCAGGGCTGTAGAGTCTTTCAATTTAAATCTCTTTTATCACAGGGTAATTCCACTAATACCAACTAAATAATGCTTCATTAAGCTTCTGAGAGGAGAATCAAGCTCATAGTCTAAACACCAAGTTATTCTCCCTGCCTGCAGTACTACAGTCTGGGCGTTTCGTGGAAGGTCTTTTGGGATGATTTGTTTTTTTTTTTTTTTTAATAACATAGGGCAAAAGAAAAAATACAACAAAAAGGCTGAAGTGGCTCCCCTGGAACCATTCTGATTACAGATGCACGAAATGAGACCCCCTAATTTTCTACAGCTCCGTACCATATAAGACAATTGCAGTCCTTTAGAGACTATTACATTCATATCACTGCAATTCATTTTTCAGAGCCTTAAACGATTGATCAGAGGGACATGATGAACCTCAGTGCTGCAGAGGAACCAATTCAGCACATCACAGAGGGCATGCAGTTAGTACATACAATATTTATGAAAATTCCAATTTAAGGATCTTTGGATGTGCAATTATGCTATCTACTAAAATTCCCATTATAGTTCTTAAAAAGTAGATCTAATAGATGTACCCCTTTTTCAAGGTTAAACTACCTACAGAAAATAGTTGTAATTTTAGACTGAGAGCAGTGCTCAGGGAAGTGATGGACAAGAGCATTGATCACTATGAGCGTCACCCATAGTTTAGCTGAAGTCAGCAGAATTAATTTCTCTGACTCCAGCCAGGCCTGATCTTGCAAGGGAAGAAAAGCTTCCATCAATTTAAACTGATATTAGATTCGGCCCATAATGCAGGCAGATTTTTTACAAGTGCCTCATGTGAACCAATCAGTTCATTTCATTCTGTAGCTGGGACAGGCTCTTCTACATGTATTCCCAATCTTCCACTCGTACGCTGACATACTGCAAGTTGTGATGCGGTTAAGTGAGAGGTAAAGCATGTATCTGTGGGCAACTCTCATACTTAGGGTCAGTTTAGACCTACCTAACATTTGACTCCAAGACTTCAGAGATGAAATATCAGTGCAGGGCCTTTCTGTGGCACTCCATGCTTGATTTTTTTTTTCCAGATGTCTAATAAAATGAAACCATCCCATACTGTAACACCTTGCAAATGAAAGCAGAAATAAAGACATTAGCTGTTTGTTCAGATTCCCAAATGTCAAATACTTTTTTTGCTTTGCTCTAAACCTGTAATTTCAGAGCACTCATCATCAGGGTGAAAGGCACAGGCAACTTTTAATTCTCACCCCCATTTTCAAAATCTACATTTACAGCCAAGTTATAAACCTTTGAATGCAAGTGTTTACAAAGAAAATATTGGCACACCTTCAGCCAACACCATAAACACCACCGCTACAATATTTACACATACAGCAAAAGTGTAAGTGATCCCCATTCTGTTTGCAGTTCAACCACACAACGTGACAATGCTTGTTCTTAGTGAAATGTAGAAAATAAAACAGGGTTTGAAGTTACCCAGCATCTCTGGATGCGGGAACGGTATAGTAAAAGAGGCGAGTGGGATGCTCTTGCTGCTTATAATGCAAGTCCTTTGAAGCTCTTCTGTTCTTTGGAGTTAATTAGAAGTTGGCTCAGAGGTTTTCCTCTGCCTTTTTTTCCTGTGTGCCTCATCTTGAGCCTATACAGCAGGTGTTGCAGAGCAAGTCTCAGCAGCACCCATTAGATATCCTTTCTTCCTTGTATTTGCAAGTATATAACTTAATCTCTTCTAAACAGTTACAGCAGATAGGAAAGACTCTGACTTGGGTGGATCCCAGGGCAACTAAAATTATCAAACTCTTTGTAAACAACTTGAACTGACCGTCAGTAACCTTGCCTAAAACATAGTCCAAAGAAATCCATACTTACTTGGGGAGATCTATATATATGAACGAGCTTCTGTCAGGAGAGTAGATCTGCATTCTTCTTTATAGGGCTGAATACCTATACAGATCTGTATATGCACCACAGTATGCATCCTAAAGTTGTCTAGTAGGCCTGCTTTGTGGTTCTGTGCCCTTGTCTCTACCTCCAGTGGGGTCAATTCACCTGTCCTACAGGACATCCTTCCCCTTTCTGACCAGTGCTGAGAAAGACACTGAGAGAACGGCAAAGGAGGGCAGCCTTGGCCTAGGAAAAGGGCAGCATCCATGTACTCACACTGATCCATGTACTCACACCCCCAGCCCCCCTTATTTTCTGAGAAGTAATTAAAATGCTCTTCTCTAGAGCTGCTAGTGCCCTAGGGAGAGGGTAGAAGGAAGTCACTTTGGCACATGCGTAGAGGTGCAGGTGGGTTTGAATGTTAAAATGTAACAGTAGAAGAATTAACCAGTGAAAATATGGCATTTCTGAGCACTTAGTTTCAATGGGAGAACGTCTTTATATGTCAGAGACAGAAAAACCAGACTTGGGAATGGTCAGAGTCTACAAAGACGGAGTCAGGCTTGCACTACCAAAAGGGAGATATGTTTTCCTCACCTTTATAAAATGTCAACATTTTTCCCTATGGAAAAATGAAGAACTGGGGGAGGCACTTCCATGCTTCTATGCACCAAGAAAAAACCTGTACAGTTGTAACTCTTCTAACAGGCATCCATGTATCTCAGAACATCATCATTTATTTTTCAGGTGTTTATGATGCAAAAACCCTAAAATGAGAACTTGCTGTAGGATTTCTAAAAGCTGTCACTTCTACTGATGCACAATTAAAAGCAAGTTTTATTAGAATTTATGATAACAGCACTTGGTCCCAAGGAGATTTGGTCAACATAAATCTGGGAGAGAAGCTTTTTTTAAAATCTAAGTCCCATGGAAATGTTTGCACAATTCTGAAAAAAATTCTAGTAGAAACTATTGCTTTTGAAGAAATTTCCCTATGGCTTTCAGTCATAACTAGTAAGAGAAAGAGACTACAGCTATATTCATTTTAGGATATATTTGTAAAAGTAAGTAACATGAAGCTCATCATGCTAAATATTAATTTTCTTGCTGCCTATGAAGTAAAAGAGTGCTTCCCAGTCACTATAACAATGCAAACACCGATTATCCTGCAGTGAAGATAATAACACATTCCTAATAACAAAGATAGAGCCATGAATAATAAATAGAGACTTGATAATACAGTATAAACATACGTGATTGCCGATTATGTTGGTCAGTTTGCATGATCAACTTGCACATGAAGCACAGATATGTGTTTCATTATAAAGTAAGAGTTTTATCTGTAGGAAAGGAAAAATAACTTGCTGAAGTGAAATTCTGTATTTTAAAGTTCTATTACGTTTTATTTCATGAGGCACTCATTTTATTATAATCGATGTATTTTAAAACTCACTCTCAATCTAGGAAGATAACGATCACAGGGTCTGAATACTGCAACATTTTTAGTAAACCATATATGGAGCAGTAATTTTCTCATTAGTTTGCGCTTAGATTTGTTTGCAACTTAATTACGACTTAAGTCTTTTGATACACGTTAACACATACTTCAGAGTGCAGTTAAGCACATAAAATATGGTATCATTTTACTCTTTTGGGGTTCAGTGCTAAAATACTCAACTAGAAACACTTAGACTGGGCTTAGAAAAAGATACTAATCAAACCACCTTTCAGAAGTTTTTCAATTCTGAAACTTTTCTTTAAAAAACAGATTTTACTAACTGTTTTTCTTGTGGAGAGAATGCTAGATTTTGCCCTGGGAATTTTAGGTTAGTTATAGCTGTAGGTATCAATGCTGTCTTAGAATGAGTAGTGCGTCGATGCAATCACCATATTAGAGTTATTATACTATATATTCAGTTAACTATCAGACATTAGATGTAAAAAAAAGTTTAGTAATAGTTACCTGTAAAAATAAGCTTTCCTTTTTATTTCTTTCTACATTAAATTTTCAGGGGAAAATCAAGAATATTTTAAATTCATTAAAAATTACCTTTATTAAGCATCATATGTCTTTTTTGTTCCCATCTGATAGAGGCCAGTTCTTTATTTTATCTTCTTGTGAGATGGACAGAGTCTGTTATGTACGCTAATGCCTTTTGTAAGATGTTAGTATTCCTATAAGCAGCTGTAAATCTAAAGGAAAAAGGCAAACCAAAACATCTCGTGGAGATATTAGAAGAATTTAAAAAAAAATCCCTCTATATTTCTTGTTTGTGTCTAGATCTTGCCCTACAAGCACATGGAAATGAGGCTGTGTCCCAGTTGGTCGTTCTTCCTTCCACACCAACTGATACCAGCAGGGTGTTTCCCATTCCAGGGGGGAAGCAGAGGTCATCTAGATTTTTTTTTTTTCAGATGGGGAGCAGGGGGAGAGAGTAGCGGGAGAAGCTGTTTTCTTTGTTTATTGGTGTGTGTCCACAGTGAGATCTCCATGCTTTTTAACCTTCTTCCATGAGACTTTTACCAGAGATGCAAAGGATTTCAGACTTCTTTCATTTTTAATTGTTGGTAAAAGAATTTCTGATTTGCAGAATTTCCCTCATACCATCTTCTACTCTGTATATGTGAATAAAGTCTTCCACTGTTGTCACTGTGAATTCTGTAAATATAGAAAAAGCAGTGACCAAATTCTGCTATGGAGACCTGAGAAAAGAATTTTATTCTTCATGTACTGCCTCATCCAAATAGTTGAATATAAATGTTGGGTAATGTGTACTCAGGAAACACTGTACTGATTTCAATAGGTGTCATGCAGGACTGTAAGCAATCATGTACAAAACCAAACTTATTTTGGAGACAGCAACTTTAAAATACTTTCTGGTATGTCAGGAATCACTTTGCTATGACTGCAATTGATGTTTCAAGTGAAAACAATAGTCTACACAAACATCTGGTAGAGAGCAGAAATTCCAGAGTCTATCTGTCTATATGTGACAGAAAAGCACGAAGAGAGAAATTATAAAGGCAGAAAAGCAATGTGCAATGTGTATATAGTATTGTTATAATTAAACCATCAATAATCCTCTACTCTAAATGATAGCTTAGTCTGTAACATGAATTTAATAAATTTTGTTTGTTATTTACTGCACGTTAAGTTACATCTGAGAAAATAAATAGGAGGGAAAAGGAACACACAAACCCAAGTCAGAGGTTAATTAATTCCTTGAATTATTTGGCAGTCATTTGGCTTGTGGTTTTACAAACTATATTGAACTAAATTAAAAACAGAACACAATCCAAGTGAAAACCAAAGGTAAGAAAAAAAGGATCTAGCCATTATTATTATTTTATATATATAACACACATAAACACATATACAAAGAATGCAGACACAAACATTGCTTTTTTTCTCCTATTGCTAAAAAACCTGCAAGTTGGATGATGGTTTAGCCTCTGATTTTAAGTAGATCGCAGAGCAGAGGCAGATAGATTAACTGAGATTTCAGGCAATATTAATGCACACACTTATGCTATGTTTGATAATTTAGTAGAAACGCATTATTTCCTACTGAATTACTGAATTGTTATGACTCTTTGTTCTGCTTTTGTAGCGTTACATATACAGCCAACGCTTTCCCATCTTTACCGGTGGCACTTAGTTACATTCCAGCAAATGTGTCTTGCATCTCAGGAAAAACTGCTGCAATATAAAAATTAATTTAATTTTCTTAGTTTTGTGTGTTCTGTAGCTCTCAAAACAGTTTGATGGTAGACTTTTTTGACTTCTTATAGAAAATTCCTAATGTTTTGTCTAGGAATTGGATAAAGATCCCTAACAAATGTATAGAACTATGTCAAATGGTGTTTGGTCTGAGAGCAAGTATTCATTCTTTGGCTTGAAATAAACTGCTGACATCTCTGACATATGTCATATGGGTCAGAGCAGAAGCTATGTAATCCATGTGGCTGTTTTCTAATTCCTTGAAATCACATGGAATTATACTGAAGATAAAAATACAACACTCACATATATAATCTTTTCTCATATGGGTAGATATAACTACTTTCATGTGATTATGCATAGTCTACATATACTTTCTACTGCTAGTCAGATATTTAACTAAGTTGTTAAATAGCACCAGAAGGATCAGAAATTTGATGTAACTTCAGTATAAAAAGCAAAATATTTTCCCCATGCAAGGAATAAGGTTATCTGCTTTTGGACATCAGTGTGCAAGACATGCCAGAGTGCTTCTTAGAAGCAGCTTCCCCAAAGAAAGGAAAGTAAGATGATAATACATGAAACAGGGATTCTCTTTGCAGATGGAAAATCAGATTCAATCTTTTGCATAGGATACACTAACTGAGTCCTGGAAAATCTTGGATAATTCATTTTTTCTTTTAACTAGGGTCAGTGCGACTCCAAGATGGCAAGAATGAGTTTGAAGGTACAGTTGAGGTTTATTTGAACGGAGTCTGGGGAACAATCTGTGGCAGCCATTGGGACAATAATGATGCAACAGTCATATGTCGACAGCTTGCACTTGGGTAAGTTTTAGTCTGAAAGAAAATCATTCGACTTATTTTAATGATGTTAGAGTATAAAGGGCAACATATTTTGCCACCCCTGAGATTTTTTTTTTTGTCCTAGGTGATTGCCTTCTCTCGTTTGCATCTTAAAGCTGTTCTTCCTAGAATCCTTTGCTTAATTTTGCTGTACTTCACAGAGGTCTCTATGAAAATCAAAATTTGATTTGAAAGCTACATGTGGGATCTGAAATGGCACAGGGCAAGGTAGATACTCTTTCAATGTGAAAAGCTGGGAACTAATCAGACAAGCTTAGGGCAAACACAGACTGCTTTAGTACGCACCAGGGAGATGTCCATGAGGGCAGAAATGCAAGGTCTGACCCCGATTTCACTTATGTAAGTGTCAATCAAGAGTAGCTCCAGTGAAGTTATTGCATCTACAAAAAGGTAAATGTAGTTAAAAGTAGCCTCAAAAGGGGCTCCTAATCCTAGGAATATTCCTGGTTTCCATGAGCATGGGGCTACCTTGGTAATCATCCATTATATCAGGCAAAGAAACCTCTAAGACTCATTCTAGGTTTTGGGGAAACGTGGTATTTTTGCTGTGCCTATCTTCATGCAACCAGATGATTTGTGTGGCTTACTTTCAGAGCTGCACATTAAAAACATGAAATAAGCCCCGAAACCAGACAAATTTTGAAACTTTAGGTTTTCATGGAATCATTTTACAGCATTATAGTAATATTGCACAGGTTGAAAGGCACTACATTATGCTAACCACTCACTTTCCTCATTGGCCACTGCTCTCCACTGCTATGTTTACTGCTTTCTAAAACGCCAGAGAATTAAATACTTCAACATTTTGTTTGATTACGTAAGTTTTATCTGTAATTACCTATATCAGCTGCCTCTGACCACAGGTACAGAATGTTTTAATTAAATAATGACATGGTTTAGGAAGGTATAACTAAAAGGACAATGAGATTTAAGTTGCCGTTACTATTCTCTGTATTTCTGAATAAGAAAATGGGCCCCTCTTTTCTGAGGCTTGATGTCTGTCAGAGAAGAGTCAATCAAGAGGATGCTTTAACATAATCTGATCATTCAGCTCTAGATAATGCCTATAGTGATGTTGCAATTGCAATAGTAAGATGAAACTGCGGTAAGGAAGAAAATGCCCACACCTACAGGGATTTAAAAAAAAAAATAGCACAATTTCAGCTTCTAGCATATAAATGCTGTCCAAGTTAGGTGACCCAATTACTTGAATACACTCTTAACATTTCATTCAGTTTGCAGTTTCTCAGTAAGTCACAAAGTATGGTTGGCTTCATAGCCTTTCTGACATTCTTTCAGTCATACATCAAGGAAGTGATTTTGTCTTCTACAAGCACTAGGGGACCAGAGTAGCCTATTTGCACTGTGACATTCCTAATGATTATTCCACTTTTTAAGACTGCAAGCCAGAACTAAATCTAAGCTGTTTTATAATGTTCAGTATTAATCGGGATACACCAAGCCTACATATAAAAATATGAGGATTAGATGAGATAAAAGTTCAGCCATCTGGAGGCTGTAATTTTGCTTATGACTTCAGCTGTCTACATGTAATACCTCCTTTCCTCATTTTCATTTAAGTTCTTGTTGCCTTACATATCTTAAATATTTTGGTTGAACAAGATCCTTGTTAGCAAAAGTAGTTCAGTGATAAGGGTGAAGGGTGAAGAAGTAGTTCAGTGAAGGCTGAAGAAGTAGTTCAGTGAAGGGTGGCAGGGCTCTGTCAGCAGAAATGACTTAAATTAGAATAGGCCACCCCTCCCCTCCTAAATAACAGTCAAAACAATTCATGCTATCATGACTGGCAGAAATATGGGGCTATAACCTATAAGATGAATTTAGTAGGTGTTATTGGTGCTCTTCAGGGGCTTCCATCTATCTGTGCCTTGGATCTTACAATATATAAGCTTTGTTTTTCATTTAATTTCGCTAGGCATTGTATGGAGGCAAAGAAGGCTCAACAATTTGCTCATTAGATTCAATCTGGGATATAAAGGAAACTGTTTTTAAATATTCTGGGGATGGATGGATGGCAATGGCTGACTAGAGAATAATGGGCATGGACCTGATCTAATGGAGTATGAGGCGGTGTCACTGTCCCATGGCCACACCCATACTGTATGACACGAGTATGGGCAGAGTACTGGTCAATGTAACAGAGTACAGGAGAGGAGGAGAGGGAAAATCCCCTTAGCATTACGACTTCTGTAAGTAAATCTGCAGTGGAAAATGTACTGTAGATCCTCCTATGGACTTTGGAAAGAATCTCTGTGTTGATTTTTGTAGTTAAGAACAAGGAGAACAGGAACATGGCTGGCCCTGCAGCAATGCAGGCCATTGTACTAAAATATCCCATAGCACAATGGCAAGAACTGGGTCACACCTGGTACTTTTCTGAGTGAAGAAGACAATGCTCAACTGCATGAAAATATGATGATATTATCCTGTTGAAGAAAGCCCTTTCTTTTCCATCCTAATTTTTATATAAGGGAACCAGGAAAGAACACATCTCAGGAACAAATATTTCACTTCCCCCTCACCTCTCCTAATGCCCTCTCCTGATTATTCTTCTTACAGTGAAAAAGGTACAGCAAAACACATACCGTTTGCTGGCCTGGGCCTTATCCCTGTTTACTGGACTGAAGTACGTTGCCGTGGTGATGAAGAAAATATATTGTTATGTGAAAAAGACATCTGGCAGGATGGAACATGTCCTCAAAAAATGGCAGCTGCCTGCACCTGCAAAAAAAAAAAAAAAAAAGCATATATGTTTTGGTTACTTCTTCACCTTACATAAATAAAAGTAGTCATAATTGCTTATGATTAAATTAGAAGAAAGAACCTTACTAGACTTCTTAGAACAGGAAAATTAAATAGACTGAATCATAGCATCATTAACTTCAAATTCCTCAGCACCACAAAATCAGCTACTAGCAGCACCACCTTTTTACCTTTTCATAGTTAGCAAGTAAATTGTTGCTTTGAGATCCAGGTTGTGAGAAAGGGTGAAGCAGCAAAAATCCTCCAAGGGAACTCTAGCTGTGAAAGTAGGACTGTGTGCCCTTCTCCGAGTCCTCCCCCCCTTTTTTTAGCAGGAGGTCATCTTTCATAGCAACACTTGCTACAGTATCAATCTGTTAGCGTGTTTCCTGGTTTCCTAGGGAGTGGCTTTTCTTGAACAATTAGGTGCAGTAGTGATTTTTCTTGGATGTTATGCTTTCTGGTAGGGAGCTGTGGTGCAGAAATGCCAGATGAATACTGAGCTCACTTTCCTTGATGTAAATGTTGATGATGTCACACATGGAACTGTGAAGTTTTTGTCCTATTCCACACGCATCTAAAACAGGTCCACGCTCTCCTAGCCGAATTGCTGCCTCACACATAGCCAAGCCAAAATAATACGGTTAGAGAAAATACTATTAATGCTTTTAAGATATTTCAGATTACTTTAACTGAAATGATAAACAGCAACTACGTGGCAGTTATGCCATCAGATTGAAGACATTGCTGATCTTGAGGAAGGATAGGCAGGCAGCGCTGAGGAGCTGGCAATGGCAATCTCTTCAGCTGTAACCAAAACATGTTGTATAATTGCAAACATGTGCTTCCTTTCCTCTTCCACTTCCCTGCCTATCCAAAAGCAGATGCATTTTTGCTTTAAAGCTCCACTATTCATGAGGAATATTTTCATAAATAACATTGAAAAAATTATTTTGGTCTTTTTTTAGAAAATTATAATGTAGCAGGAAGGGAGGTGACAATGACAGAATTTGTCTCTTACTGAAGATTTTACCCTCTGGGACCAAGACTGTATGGAGCTAATTTTGCTTTTACTGGTAGAAAGCCAATTCTACTGACTGGTATTTGGCCTTATGGTCCTACATATCTCTAACACTTTGACACTTAAGTAACTGGAGTTCAGTACGGTTACTAGCCTGTATAACATTCTTCAGGTACCCAGAGTGGAGCTTGAGGGAACCAGTCTCTAACAAGCTCAATTTCAGAATTGCTATTTAATTAGGAAAAAAAAAAGTGTAGTTCCTGAGCAATGCCAGGCAAACCATTAAACCATCTTCTTGTTTTCTTTACTATCAGGATAACATTTTGGTTAAGAAATGACATTTTCCTATATTCTGTGCTTGATCACAGCCTCTGTCTTTATTCCGATCCGACTGGCTGGTGGGAACAATGCTCATGAAGGAAGAGTAGAAGTCTACCATGCTGGCCAGTGGGGGACCGTCTGTGATGATCAGTGGGATGATGCAGATGCTGAAGTTGTCTGTCGGCAGCTTGGCCTTGGGTTTGTTTTTCTAAATATTTTTTACTTCAGCAGCAAAGTAGAGAAGTTAGTAACATACACAGCTTTGAGTTTTCAAAATACGCTTCTTTAAATAGCACTAATACTTCTTATTACAACAACCAGGGCTGATTCTGATACCACAGAGAAGGTACTCAGATACAGTACCGAGGAAGGATGCTGCAGGAGTGTGAGGAAAAGAGGAGAGGTGCTGAATCAGAGACGAAAGAGAGAGAGGACAACTGGGAAGATAGGCCAGATGGGTTGGAGAGGAAAGAAGTAGGAACATGATACAGGGAAGGAAGATACTAAGGTACAGAACCAGGCAAGAGACTGGAATTATGTCTGAGACAGACCAGGATGAGAACTAAGCAGGTCAGCGCAGAAGAGACTGGAAAGAACTCAACTGCTCAACCCTGCTGGGATTATGATGAATTAAAACAAGTGGCACTGAAGGTAGCAAGCTTTGTGTCACCAAGAAGTAGCCCCCGGAGTACACATGAAACTGAACCCAGGATTCCTGCTAGTGCCAGCCAGATTAGCTCAAAAGGCTGAGATCTGTGCAACAGTTGTAAGAGCTTCTAGGCCTGCTGGTGAGCCACGTGGGAATTGACCTGCTCCTCTCACAGCAGACTTCTGCCTTTTTCCAATTTACTTTCTGTTTAAGTCTAGGTTATGTACAGAGAGAAAAAAAAAAAAAAGAAAGAATGGTTAGATTGCAAAGAAAGATATTAAAAGATCTGTAAAGGTTGTGTAATTTCAGTTCAACACTCTTGTGTATATGATTTTAAGATATGATCTTTAATTATAAGACTGTGTAATTTTTTTTTTTTTTTTTTGTTTACACAGGCACTTTCCCTTATTTTGTGCCCCAAATAACTGGTGCTTGTGAACTGGTAGCTATTCAGTATTTCTTTGTATCCTTAACATACACTGTGTGGTTCCAGGACCAAATTAATGCACATCCTTCAGTCCTGGTGTAGAATAGCTATAGAGGTATTTCTATATATCGGTACATATTCATTCAGGAGTATCTAATAAAAAGCATATATTATTATATTTTAACAACAGAAAAAGTCTGTAACTGGGCCACTATTAATAATTTCTAGGAGTTTCTAAATGACAATTTAAATTTATCTATATTAATGATAAATGTAGTGCTCTTTATCTGCCTCTTCACTGATTACAGTAAAACATTTGATTCCTTGAATTTAATGTTCAGAAACTGCACTTCTGAGATTCTTCTAATTTGATTCAGTTTTATGAGTAGAGGTGCCTAAATCATTTTAAGATGGTGCTAAGTCTTTTTGAAATAGGTCTAGAGATTTGCAGAATTTTTCAAGTAATCAAGATGTCTTGACAAGTGTGCTCATAACCTGTGAACTGCTGTTTACCAACAGTGGCAAAGTAGGGCAGTTATGAAGGAATAATCTAAATTTACATACTGCTAATCAATCTGGAAATGTACCACAAACTGTAAAAATAAGGCCTCTCAGCAAGTAGCTTCCCACACCCTTTCAAGTTTTCTGTAGCACCCTATAAAATACAATTTCAGAATATCAGTTTTCCAATGACAGGTGAAAAATAATGATAATTATTTCTTTTATTATTTGGTTACACAGATACCTTTTGGTAAATACAAATTGCTCTTGTTATTGTAATGGGTTTATGGTCTCTGTTTTATTGGAACTCCAGAGAATCTCATCAGATTATGGTATAATTTGTTTTCAACATTCATAGTAAAGCATTAGCTCTTTGATTTCTACCAGCTTATTAATGGAGAAGGATTTTTTTTTTCTAATGCATTCTATACATCTGTACCAGCAACAGAATAAAAGATACAAGATATAGGAAGCTATGTATGAGAATTTTCATTTTGTGTTTAGTTTGTATCATGCAACTACTACTCAATACACTTAATTTTTAAGATAATTTATGATAGACATATAAATGTTTCAAAGTGCTGTCATCTAAACAACTAACAGTAAACTAGGCTTTCTGCAATAAGCCTGTAATATATTTAGGGTAAAACTGACAAAAACAGGTATCTTTAAACTAGGGTCTTTATTCCATATTTATCTGTTTCTACTAAAATAGCCTGAAGTGCTGAGAACTCACAGAGCCTATCTTAGGGAATGCAAATACATTTGAAAACTGAGATGTTTTATTTATTTAGATGCTTAAATATAAATTGGGTATCTAGATTTGAAGTATTAGCCTTGGTCTATTCTATGCATTATATTTTCTTAGTTTACTATTTAATCATAATATATAATATGTTACCACAATTCCAATCAGTTAGAAAAGCAGCTCTTTATGAAATAAAAGAGGGAGAGGGCTTGGCTCGTCTTCCCATTACAAGTCTTCAATAATCAATGCTATATATAAAAAGGCATGGTTGCTTAACAACCTAAATCAAAGAAGGCTAAGGGCAATCAGTAAACGTCTGCAAAACTCAGGGAAAAATGCAATTTCCAAACTGTTTGGAATTCTTTTTGGTATTCCCAGTGGTAGAACATGGTATCTGTTAATATGTACTAACTTCAGACTGAATTTATTGATTTGCCCTGACAAATTCCAAGAAGAAAGTAGAATGTGTTTTGCTAAGATGTTGTTTGCTCAGTGCTCTGAAATATTTTTGTTTTGCTCACCTGCTTCTCTGAAGCAACTGCAAATAATAACTGGTCTCCCCACTGAGTAAGTAAAGCTCTGCTTTTGATATTTTCCATGTGCTCCACTACTTGAAGGAGTCATCTGGTCATGAGAGAAACAGTTTGAAAACTCACAGTGTATTTTCAAGATTGATGAAGCGCTTTAGCTTGACAATATTAAAAAACAAACTGATTTCAAACAAGACAAGAATGCAAAACAAATACAGATGGATTAATTAACTCGCCTTTCTTGTGTGTGCTTTTACTTACTGGGCACATATCTACACAGGGACTACCATGAACTCCAACTTCATTCCTTTTTATAGAGCTTCTTCCTGATACTATTTAACTTTCACAAGCATCTTATTGTTGTTATTTTTCCATACCCCTTTACTGTTTGTCAAGAATTTGTACGACGACTACCTGTAAACTGCAGCACTGCTTTCCTTTAAAAAAGGAGATAGCAGAGATTGCTATAGATTCATTTGATGCACTGGAAATGAAATCTACATTATCTAAATCTCCGTGTGAATTAGTAGGTCAGTAAGCCTTTAAAACATGAATGACTGGAACTTACATTAAATATTACAGGAGTGGACAATTCTAACACACTATCACAAAAGACAGTTAGGAGTTGGAATGATTACATCCTAAATCAAAATAGTCAAGGCCTGTCATGTTTTCAGTATACACTAAATAAACCTAAATAGTCGCCAGGTATTATGTAGCAACATATGGCTGGTAGTGGCTAACTCTCTTTAAAGCAAATTAATAATCAGTATAAAATCCCATGCCCAAACTCCACCTTAATTTAAACTAATCCTTCAGATAGGTAAGTCATTGTAGTCAGAAAATTTTCCATACCTTTAACCTTATGTGCTGAAAAAGAGGACAGAAATTGAAAACACTCGCACAAAAACTGGACTAGATAAATGAACAGAGAAACCGTTGAGTGGAAAGAAACCAAACCAAACATTAAAATTTACATATGAAAGACATGGGATCTTAAGGAATAAGAATTAGAAAAACCCTGATAGATCATCAAGTGTTAAACACTGCATAATTTTTGTAATGCTGAAACAATAGAGCATTTTCAATTTACACAGATTTTTGTGCTCAAAACCCACTATGCAGACATAAAGAGAAGAAATATTCTATAGTAAACACAAGACTAGACCTTGGTCTGCTTTCTGTTCTTATGTCTGCCACTGATTTACTATATGACATTGTCAAATTACTTAAATTCTCTTTGCCATGGTTTTTAAATGACTAAGTGGGGAATAATCACCTTCATCTGCCTCATCTGAGTATCTGAGATTTGATTAATGCTCTTCATCAACCGATGAAAGTCACTACAGAAAGATAAAGGATTATTATTATTGCACATAAGCATTAAATGAAAATTAAGATCACAACCCTCATACCCATCTGTACATCTATAATCTCTTCTAGGAACGTTATGCTTAAAAATCAAGAGGTGGAAAAGGAAAATGTCCTAAATCCAACACAATAGAATTTGATGTTGGAAGCGTGGGAGCATGGAAGCAGCTTGTTTCAAGTTTGCTTTTTAGTCTCAGCTGAGACTGAAGCTGACTGTAGAACAACATTATATCACGTAACATAACATGGGCTGCATTGTCAGTTATCAGCGCCGTGGCTATTTAGGCAATCCCATTTGCTATTTTAGAAGCTGGCTATGCAACATTATAGCTGTTCCCATTCATTTCAAGAGTTTTCAGCTTGCTTGTTCTTGACTTGATGTTTGTTATGTTTGCACAGGGGTGTTGCCAAGGCATGGAGCCAGGCTTACTTTGGAGAGGGCTCAGGCCCAGTGCTGCTGGATGAAGTGCGTTGTACAGGAAATGAACTATCTATAGAACAGTGTCCAAAAAGCTCCTGGCAAGAACACAACTGTGGCCACAAAGAAGATGCTGGTGTTTCCTGTACACCTCTTACAGGTAGTTCAATGATGAATAGTCACACTGGAAAACAGTGACAAGTGCAGAACTGACAGCTCTGGAAAGAGACTTTTTTTAACTTCTCAGATGCATAAAGCCCCACAGTGATAAAATGTTCTGACAGTATTACAAAGAATCAGGTGTTGCTTATGGAAATTCTACAGGTACAGAAAATCTTGTTATTCAGCACCAACCCTTGGTTCCTGAGCAACTTGCTAACTGTCACTTATTATATGGGGGCATTTTCTTTGAAGTAGGATAGTTAGACCAAAACACATGCTGCCATAATTCTGCATTGCATCTATCAATGACAATAAATGTTTCAGCAATAGAAATAACAGGAAATAAGCAGAATATACGAAGTAAAGTATAAGGCATGTATACGATGAAATGACACAATCAGAGCCCGCTTCTGTGAACTGGGCATATAACAGGGCCTTGGGAGATCAGAATCTTGTGCTGTTTCTTTTACACTTACAGAATTGCATTATGTAACAATACACACCCAACTGGAAGCATTATGGCGCTTCTTTCATTTTCTGATCAAACAAAACCTAGTGATCAGCATTAGGTTTAGTAGTCTAATATTCTGATACGATGCAGTACCTGTAATGTTGTTAGTAATTTTTGGTAGAACCTAAGGAAAACTGATTATTTTTTTCTTTTTCCTTACTTGTTAATGACACAGATGGTGCATTAAGACTAGCAAGTGGGAAAGGCAGTCATGAGGGACGACTGGAGGTCTATTATACCGGGCAGTGGGGCACAATCTGCGATGATGGGTGGACTGAGCTGAATACACAGGTGGTTTGCCGGCAGCTGGGATTTAAGTAAGATTTATTGATATTAGATATCTGACTCTCTGACTTGACAGTGATGAAAGACATTTACACAACCCCTATATCCTTCAAGGGTCTGTCTTTTTATATATTAGGTGAGTGCTTAATAGAAACTTCTGGGGTAAAATCCATTAAAGCCTGCTTCACTCAGCCTCTATCAGATATCTATGGCCTCAGTTTAGGTGGAAGAAAAAGCTTGTCTCAATTCAGCCAGTGATTCGGCAGTGTTTATTCATCGAGTTCCTTCCAATTATCTTTTTGGCTGACTGAGATTAACACATATGCTATAGAGGAAAACTGATTTGTTGTATTCTATTTTACCTTTAGAAGTTTGATTCTTCAAATTCTTTGCTTGTGGAATAGCCATTAAAAATACAGAGACTTTTAAGATATTAGGCCCTCTGGTTTTAGCTAAAAAAAAAAAAAATCACAGTCAAGCCGCAGAACACTCTTATTTTTTGAAATATCTATGTTAGAAAAATTCCCATTAGAGCTCTATGCATTCATTCTTCACTCCTTTTCCTACTGACTGGTTACAAAGACACCCTCTCACTATGCCATCTTTCTCTTGCCTTATTCTTTTATTCACTGATGTCACAATCCATTGACGTAATAACTGTATTCATGTTAAAACATATCACATTCACAGAAGTACTTTATCTCATTTTCCCAGATGTGACATTCAAATTGATGTACAATATTAAAAACATGTTTTAAGTCTCAAAGTCAATGAGACGTCTGTACATTTGGTTGAACTGAAGCCTTAATCAAAGGTAATGCATTTTCAAGTTTGTATGAATGTAACTGTTTAATTCCTTAAAAAAAACCCAAAGCTACCAGGGAAAAAGCACATAATGCTGTCATGGATTTTAATGCTAACTGAACCTGCTTGGTCATGGTTAATACCATTCACTGTTATGCTTGAGAGATCTTTGTTTTATTTCTTCAGAAATAATTTATTTCCTTTAGTGCTGAAGTATCACACACACTCCCATTACTGCAGATCAAAACACTATGTATACGTATTCATTATGCAGGTATGGAAAAAGTGCACCCGAGAGCTACTCAGAGGGAAGTTCTGGGCCCATCTGGTTGGATGATGTCAGTTGCTCGGGGAAGGAGTCAGACCTTCTGCAGTGTTCAAAAAGAGAGTGGGGAAAGCATGACTGCAACCATCAGGAGGATGTCAGACTCATTTGCCATCCGGATAATGACAGCCATAAACTCTCACTTGGTAAAGCATCTCTTTGGCAACTTCACAAAATGAGTATTGCTGTGGTGCAGATCTGAGAGAAGTATAGTATACTTATGGTGCTCAAAGTCCTAATGTCTGTCAGTCAGTCACTGGCAGATGTGCACATGCCAAAGGAAGAGGAAGGGAAAAAAAAAGCTCACTTTTCACCTGAAGATCACAAGAAGTGGTCAGGCTTTGTATACAGGAACATTAACAGCCAGAACATTAGAGAATAACACAAATTTGTAAAGTAGCAAAGTCAGAATCCAGAGATCCTGTTCTCCAAATCTTTATCCTCATGAGATTTTAGATCTCTTCAGCCCTTCCTAGTGGTATGCTGCTTTTCACTCAGCACTCTCCAAGCTGTAATGAGCTGTCTCAGGCTATCAAAAGTTGGAAAGGTACCTGTGCGTTACAATTACATTAAAGGATATAAATCAATAGTAAATCCTCCTATGGCCTTACCTTCAGACAATCTGAAAAAAGAGATATTGAGAAAGAGGGGAAGTTCAGATATAGCAAGAAGAAATGGTGAGAAGCAGAAAATTATTTCTGTATTACTGTTGTCTATTGTTTACACTGTGCCTGGGTGAATGGGTGCCAGCTGCTGACCAGGACAAATGGTGCTACAAACACAGACCAAAGAGCCAGTTCCAATGCCAAAAAGCCTATAAACTTGTATGAGGAAAGAACGAAGAGACTGATAAGAAAATAAATGAGAGAGAAATACAAATTACATAAAGGTATTGTAGATAAAATATTTACAGATAGATTCTAAAGACTCCTAAATCCACAAAGAGATCATTAAAACAAGAGTTCTGGCTTTCAGATATGCACACTAAAAATTACAGTGGAACAATGAGTTGTTCAGCAATTCTGAAAACCAGATTTGTTTTTTAATTTGCTACATACAAATTTGTAGCTTGTCATTAAGTGACACTTTACAAAATTTTTGCCAATATTTTTTGTAGTATACTTCAGCTGATTTTGACATTAGGATTAACAAAGGAACTAGTAGATTCCAGCTTCTACGGAAATCTAATGGATTTGTAGGCCTAGGTTCCTGAAGATCTCTGGAAATTCCCGACTGCAAACTAAAACATGAATTTACTGCACTACATTGCTACCTGATCTTATAACAATCAGCACTTGCACGCACACTTTTCTAGTCTCTTCATCTTTCTGGTCTTTTTCTTTATAGCCTTTTGACCTCTAACCATCCAATGAATGTTTTATGTTGTAGTACTGTTCCATTACGTGTAGATGAAGTGGAATCGTATTTGGTAGAAAGAATTTTCTCAAACCAAAAATAACAGGAATTCAAATCAGGACTGCTGCCTTTATAGATGCAAACCATCTGTGCTGCTTTGCTCAAGTTCCTATAAAACATAATCTTAGCTGAAGGAGGTCTGGTTCAGTTAAATGCATCCATATGGTAACATTTTCATATCCCCTATTACCAGAAAATCGTATTTATTTCCTGCTCATAGATATATATGCTAAAATACAACAGTATGAGACAATAATAAGAATAGATACACTGTACCACTAATATCCTGTGACTCTGTTTGGGTAGTATAATTTACACCTAAATCATATTCTTCCAGAAAACTGTATCATTTCAACAGGAAAATGAAGACAGTGTATCGGACGTTTCCTGTAAGATTTCTGGTTGGACAGGGGACAAAGGTTCTATTGTGTTGTTACTATTTACTTCATAGCACTTACTTAAAAAAGCATTTTTTTTTTCTCCCTTTAAAGATAAATTCAGTGGAAAAACATGAGAAATGAGTAGGTGACATAACTTCAGGAAATACAGACATTAAGGTACACTAACAATGAAACACAACACACTACAATAACTACAACATGTGTTAAAATATAAGATCCTGAAACTATAACTAAACAGAAATTGGTGAAACTGACTAATAAATACAACACTCCAGACAGTACGAACTGCAATGTTAAACAACATGCTATAAATTACATTTGAAGCAAAAGCATTTTATTTTTATTTCAAAACCTTTCCTCTTTTAATCAATGAATTAAGCCAGTTTTAATTAGCTTTACTCCAGAATAAGGTTTGGTCTAAAAAAGTTATTCATACCCTAATTTAATCTGAATTAAATTTCAAATGCAAATACCTCCCAATGCTGCTTTACTTTAGAGTAAGATTAAATAATTTCTTATCCTTACAGGGCTAGAAGAAAATTTCATTGGGTAATGAACTTACTTATCTTTCATTTATGTGACGATGATGAGGAAGTGTCTTTCAAATTATTCAAAAAAGCAGCTCTAATCAGAGTATTAAGTATTATAAAACATGACAGACTAAAAGATTTAGAAGCTGGTTCTTGCTTAAACACTATAAAGAGGCCTCAAAGTAATTCATAACTGTTTTAAGGAAACTTGGTTTGCTAGCATGCTATAAAGGAGTCTTAACATATATGAGAATCACATACATACTTCGCTTAATGTTTCAAAATTTAAGTACAGGCCAAGCACTGAATGAGAGTAGCAGTATTAAATAAGAACCCTGGGCTTTGAGAAAGAAAGAAAACAAACTAGCCCTGATTAATTAAGTCTGACTAATCCACATAAGTGAGATTTTGCATTATGACCATATATGAGTAAGTATTCAAATATAAATGCTAGAAAACAATAAAACAATATATCATACGTTTTTCTAGAACAACATGCTGTAGAATATTATGCTATCATGCAAAACATGATACAGAATAGCATGTGTAACAAATAACCAAAACCAAAAGTTCAACACAAAGCTATACTGTCTTGCTGAGACAGTGGCAAGGGGAGCGGCCCTAGCCAGTTTGAGAATGGATTTATGAAGTGAAATAGAGCTAAATTCATCCATAAAGTTCCTGCAAGAAACATGTGTACAGCCTGGAAAGGTACCATATACAAAGACACCTTAATTGTTCTCAGCCATTAGTGGGAGAATTGGTCTGTGCCTTTTGCAGTCAAATTATGAGCTATGCCCCATATTTTTATGAAATGAGGGAACTAGATGAATGCTGAAGTTCAAAATACAGGGAGAACAGTGGTATTTCATATTGTGTTGTAATTTGCAAAAACTTCTTTCTTTTGCCAGCCAGGGTAAAATATGCAACTACTTTAACAGCCAATTTTAGGCTTGTTGAACTTAAGCATCAGTTGACCCTACACCCTGAATGCAATGAAAAAGACCTGAAGTACTAGTTCTTGCTCCTGTTGTTGTGGGTTGACAACTGTAATCTATTCCCAGGTCCTCCCATCAGGCTGATGGATGGTGAGAATAAGAAGGAAGGACGTGTGGAGATTTTTATCAATGGCCAGTGGGGGACAATTTGTGATGACGGATGGTCTGATAAAGATGCAGCTGTAGTTTGTCGACAGCTTGGCTACAAGTAAGAAAATTCACACAGTTATTTCTCAACCTATCTTTTTGCAATATCTGATTACATTAAGTTTGTGCAACCAAATATCACCCAATTAGGTTTGATCACATAATATATGCCTTGTAAAAGCTGTCCATTTGGTATTCTTTCACTATACTTTAGAAACGTATACTATTAGCGTAAGAAACCGTCAGCTATGTCTTCAAAGGGAATATATATTAACTAATACACTTGGGAAAAGGAATTTTAATATTCAAAGGTATTTCACAGTCTCACTGGCAACCATAAAGCAGGTTAATGTTAGCTATTAAAATATTTTTAAAAGCTAAATATTCCAAAATGACTAAACTACTGAATAAATTCTGTATTTTATTTGTCACTTATGGTGCTACATGTTCATATGATATAAACACACCACACCAAATTTTTTTTTAACACTTAGTTATTAGTGGCACTGATGTAACTGAGAAAAGAATTTGGTTTAGTATACCTGCTCTCTGCTCTTTCTTATTTAAACTGTTCTTAGTTTACTTCTTTGACCTTTGGTTTCCAGGTTTCTAAAGGCATAAAAAGTTACAGAATGAAATTTCTACTTTGGGGAAAAATGAGGGAAACAGTAATACTAACATTTAGATAAGCACAGATAATTATATATTCTCTGAACGGTGTAGATTCCCCGTTTTATTTCTGATTTTATGTCAGAGTTCTGTTTCACCATACCCATTGACTACAATTTTCAATCATATATTGACTAAAGATGACTCATTATGAAAATCATTATACAGAGACCTAAGGTACCTATCCTCCAGTGCTTTAGTAATTTGATGTAACTTTATATATAAGAAAAAACAGGGGAAATTAAAATGCCTTTTTTATTACATTTGCACAGAAAATATAAGCATTCCAAGCCTTGGTTTATGACAGGTTATTGAAATTATCTGGAATTTAGCTGAATTCTTAGGGATAACGGTCTACTGTTTCAAACAGTGCTTGATCTGTTTTTATTGAAGGCTATAATTTCGCATATTGTTATTATCTTTTCTTATCATTAATGACGACTTTGAAATCTTTAGTGGTTCTAACATGACTGTTACAATTTTTAGTAAAATATAGCAGCAGCTCAGTGTCCATTGTCACAAGGCAGGATATGATTTTAGCAGTGTTTCAGTCATAGGCATACCACCTACTGAATTACTTGTTTCATTTTTTTTTCCCTCCACTTACTGATCTGACTTGACTCCATGTAGCTAGAAGATTTGATAAAACTGTTATACAGAGGATTATAGCTTTGACCTACATGAATAAGCTTCACTAAATGTAAGAATAGACCTGACAGGACAAAAAAAAAGCTGTAATTAAAAGCACTGCAATATGTCCATGCCACTTTTGAATCAAGTTGCTTCATCAGGCTTACATCACTCAGGAGCAATTTTTTTCTGGATATGAAAGAGCAATACAGATATAACAACTAAAGGACAGACACATAAATAGCAGAACTAATACGAGCTGAAAAATAACCAGAATTCTAGTGAAATACGACAGAAAGCTAGTAAAATGTCTTCTCTGCGTATCCGTAAATAAATTTGAGCTAAAGAAATGCATTGATTTGTATTATCTCCTACAGAATCATTTTAGTCTGCTTCATCTTCAGCCTCTGCAGTCTGTTATATTTCTCTCGCAGACGACTAAACTCAAATCACTTATCTCCACCTTCTGTTTATAAGCCTCTGCAAAGACAGACAGTTAGCTGGACTCTCAATTTGCATCATGTCAGAACAGGGGATTAAGATTACGGAAAATAATACAGTAGGATACATATTAGCCAAAGGACTAGGGACAGACACATTTTAGAAATCTAAAATTGGGTTTGAGAAATTGGGAAAGCCTGTCGGAAGCACTGGATATTGCTGTCCCTACGTCCAGACAGTTGCGTTCCACAGGCCTGACCATGCTGCTACATGCACTGATGAGCTGGAATTGTTTCTGGGCCTAGGAGTTCACACAGAGATCTTTTCGCTAATGTTCAGATTACATTCAGTGGTGACTTGACTGTCCCAAAGCAAGGCTGGGGCTTACGGGTTCATGCATTTGATTTTTAGGGTTGATGACTGTTGCTTCGTTAGCAGCAGACACATTATGACCTTTTCCTGGGAGGAGCTCAAAAAGCACATAATACTGAAGCTGACATCAGTTTTCATTAAGACTGATCATGGAACTAAACAATATCATTCAATTCCCTCTACACTGTTTTATTCCCAAGTCTTTTCTACTGGGGAATTTAATACAACTGGCTTTGCATTCCTTTCCTTGGAAAAAAAATGCATTTACTATTACAAACAGGAGAAAAGACTGCCTTAAAAAGGAGAGAGGAGTAAACAAAGGGTAAACATTGCAAAAACGGACTTTCTCCTGTATGTGTTATTCATAATGTCAATACATATATGTGTTTATTTTATGAAATCCTGCTTTGGAACCTTCTCAGCCATTTATAAGAGTCATTTCTGAGGATGAAACAAGACAATCCATGAATTGGCAAAATCACTATGTTCAAACTAATACTAGTTTTAAAGGCCTCTCATTAAGCCAGCCTGCCAAACTCATTGTTAATGCTAGTGGAAGAAAAACATAATACAAAGAACGTTAGAAAACAACTCGACTAATGGGCTAAAAACAGTCATGAAACCTCAATAATAATTAATAGTGTCCTAATCAAAGTATATTTGTAGCAGAATAAGAACTGAAAGAATGTGCACCTTTTCTGAAGTACTGTCTAATACCTGATAGGGGTTAGCACACAAAAGAGTATTTTAGGTCTATGCTGGACCCCTTTTATTTAGAACAGGCTTATATGAGCACAAAGGTGCACACACGAATGTACATCAAATGTACAAATCCCCTGCCATTAGTGCCCCACACAAATGATCTACTCCAGAAAAAAAAAGTGTTCTAAGGTAGTTGGCCCTCTGTACTAATCAGCAGGATTTTCTGATTAACAACATTATGAACGATGGTAATACCACTTCTAAAGAGCTCAGCGTATTATTGTGCACAGCCTTGTGTCTGAGAAAAGCTAGAGTATAAGGGCTTGAACCTACCCTTCTCCCTAGGGACAGATCTGAGCAAGCAAAGAGGGTTGCTCCTTAGATGGCCATCTGGGCATGAATAGCTGTCTGCTTTTCTCCGAAAGCAGTAATTAAGTGACACATACACCTTTGGATAGGGGTGGACTAAAAACACTTGTAAGATCATGTTCCAACATATAACAAGCACACAAAACTTAACACTCGCACATTTAGAGAGATCTCTGTTATATGAAATTATTTTCTCTATTAAGCTGTATTTCTTGCTCTAGAACATCATGTTTTCTGTACTTATTTCCTTGAAGGTGTTTGTTTAAAACTTTTTTTTTTCTTTCGGTTAAGGGAGTTCCTAAAAAGTAGGACACTCCTTCAAAGAATGAACCTTTCATAGCACTTACCAGCAAGTTGAAAGATTACCGATACACAGTAAGAGATATATCAAGACATGAAAAGCTCCTGAGGCACAAGTACCATGATTCAGCTTATGCCAGTGCGTGATTGCAATCCATATGCACTTAGTTCCTTCCTTCATCTTTGTGTCTCCACATCTCTCTCACCTATAATACTTACATATGCATACTCCTGTATATCTTTGCGATTCCTTGAGATTTATCTAGCAAATCAGTGGAGGCAGTGCCTCCACGAAAGTCTGATAAAGAGTGCAGACACAAATGTATAGCAAACAGCAATAAATGCTTCTCTGGGAAAGACCAAGAATACTGTCGTGATTCACAACAAAGTAGTTTTGAATATCCTGAGGAGCTTTAGAGCAATGCCCTAAAGCAGAAACTCATCAAGCACTGTGAATTGCTCTGTGACATAGGAGATTTCAAAGTCAGGCTTAGATTTTGCAACAAGTGCTTGTACTGTCTCACCATTTTGTAATACCATACATAGACACATCAGCTGCCCGCGGGTATCAGAGAGCAGGACATTCTTTGCAGTTATCTGTAATCAGAGTAACATTCACAAAAGAAAAATATTTGGAGCAAGAAGAAACACATTGCTTGCAGCTAACAAGTTAAATCATACTAAACCCATTAGGCAAAGACTGTCCTATACCGTTTCCAAAGTCAGTTAAGGCTTTGGATTATCTGGTAGATACGTGCTAGCCATGGAAATTAAAATATCTAAGGACAAGTGACCTCGTCGTATCAGCTCTGTCAGATGTTTTGCATGTTTCTCTTTCCTGGATTTTTACAATTCATTTATTCTAAATAACAGTCCCTTCTTAGAAATCCTGTCCACCCCTCCCATTCAGCACCTGATAAAAAAAATTCCAAATGGCCAAGGCTCTTCATGTGCAACTGTGAAAAAAGAGGAAGCTTACATGTATTACTTTCATATTTAAATTATATGGATATGGACAATTCAAGGACAGAGTCTCTGACTCTGATCCTGCTCTGCTTCTAGTATGAAGAAGCTTTAAAAATGATATGAGAAATCAAATTTCTCCCCAACAGAGAACCTCTAGCTGATGAAGACCCATGAACTCTTTATGCCATTCTCACCTGTCTTCCCCAACATTGCAGGTATAAAAAGAGATATAAAAAGAGGTACAAAAAGAGATAAATATTTCCTTGCCTAGCACACTTTCACTGTTAAACTCCTCTACTCTAGCTCTTCCCCTGTATGTGCAGCTATCCTTTTGTATATACAGAAATACTGTCCTTTACAATATGTACTTGTAACATACCCTTTCAAAACAGAAACTCATGTAGTATAACATATTACAGTTATATAGTATTCAGTATGTTTCAGTATATTTTTATAATAATACATTTTTATCACAATAAAATCTCAGTAGATCACTCTTAATTGTTAGGGAAACCAGAAATTCAGACACACCTAAAGGACGCTCTGGCTTCCAGCCCTATTTTGTAAAGACAGCCATGTGATCTCCCACTAGTGTTTCTTCATTACTCTTTAAATTATATCCAACAAAATGGCTGTTTATGTAGTATGAAGCATTATCCTAAGTAATTAAAAATAAACACTTATTACAAAAGTTAACAAATGTAAAGCAATGCAATTGCATAAGTATTATTTCAATAGTGACATTTTACTGTCTTTCTCCAATTATATTACAGTTTTAGAGCTCAGCTACAGGGGCACACTTCACAAATGGCATGTAGCTTGTACTCAAGATTTTCTACACCAAGCTACTATGAAATATGTTAATATAATTACTATTAATGTCTAATAGATTTGTAAATCATAGTCCAAATTAAACTGCAAATGTACCTTCTTAACTAGTTCTTCTTTCTGAGGGAATCAGACCAGAAAAAATTATTTTTAGCATTCACAGATGCTGACTTTATATAAGGATTAAAGAGATTACCAAAAAAGCAGCTTTCACATATTTTGATTTGTTGTGGATATTTGTAATGCTATTACAATAAAAACACTTTGCACAGTACTAAGTAAAGACATAAAAGCACTTTTTAAACATTAATGAATTGTAACAAACTTGTTACACTATTATTTTTTCCACTTACCAGATTAACAGAGGCAACGAGAAGAAAAATTGTCAGCGAATGAATTAATGAGAGGACTTGGAATAAAACCTCAATGTCTTCATTTTACTACTCACACTCTCTAAAATATTTCAGCTTAAGTCAAGTGAGTCAAGCGTAGAATAAAACTTTAAAATGTTTTAATTACAAAACTATGTTCTGTTTCCAGAGGTCCAGCTAGAGCCAGGACAATGGCATATTTTGGCGAGGGTAAAGGTCCGATCCATGTGGATAACGTGAAATGTACAGGGAATGAGAGATCTCTGGCAGACTGCATTAAACAGGACATCGGAACCCACAACTGCCGCCACAGTGAGGACGCCGGGGTGATCTGCGACTACCCAGGCAAGAAGGCCCTTGGGAACAGCAACAAAGGTGATGTCTGTTGTGAGTCGCAGAAGAACAGAGTCTGAACGGGGTATAATCGTGGTAGGAAGAGAAGGAAGTAAACACTCCCACCTTACGGAGAAAACATTCACATCAAAAGAATTTATAGAAACAAAAGTGGTAGGAAACTGTCTGCCCCCATACTGCAAGCCATACGTTTGATCGTATTGGTGTGCCAGCTGCACAAAGGAATCAAAGACTATTTAAATGATACAGGGTGTTTGTCCACCCCAGTACACAGCAGCCGTGTTTCTTAAGTTGTACTAGGGACATAAGATGGGGGGGGAGGGGGGAGGGAGGAGAAGAGAGACAGCTACTTTTAACTTTTCAGGACATAGTTTGTCTTTAGCTGTCAAGTTTTGCTTTTACTTACATCAGGATAAGTAAGGAAGAACTTTATAAAAAATCCCTAGGGATTACTCCAGACTTACTTACACTCGCAAAGCAGAGCACAACTGTGTAAATCGATTTGTGATCAGAGTTTAAAAAAAAAAAAAAAAAGCAACTAACCAGAATGTCTAAGTCTGAGAGAATCCAGCGTCATTTCCCAGAGCAAAATCTGAGAGTTGAAACCTACCAGGAAACACACAATAACTTCAGCCTTCTTGTTTTTCGAGTTTAATGCTGTCCACATTTCCCTTCTTGTTTAGATTCTCTTGCTTCTGTTTGTGGGTTGAGGTTACTACATCGCCGACAAAAGCGAATAATTGGCGGGAAGAATTCTTTACGGTAAATATTTGGTAAAGATAAGTCATTTTCAATATAAAGCCTCTAAGACACATTTGCCATAAGCTACCTGTCTAATTTATGTTTTACTGTAGGATTTTTTGCTTGCTTTTCCTAAGATAGAAGCAGAAATACACTCAAATTTGGTGGGAAATTCAAATACATTCTTTGATAAGTAGTTGTAGTATCAGTTGAAAATCTGTGGATTCCTATGGGTTTAGTCATTGGTTGGGTTAAATATGTTACTTTCAAAGCAGCCACTTTTTCTTTGAAAGGAAATCTTGACATCAAAAGTGAGCTACATAAAGAGAGCTATGAATCTGATACAAAGACTATAAATGCTATCTACCCTGGAAAAAGTGCTGGGTATGATTCACGGCCTAAGACCTGATTTTCCCTCACAAAACATGCCTCTCCGATGACAGAGTTACAAAGCTAGGCTTTTTATTAACACTTTGTTCCTAACCTTTAGCGACATATGTTTACGTATAGTTACCGTCTTTCCCTTCTTTCCCGCTTCACGTACTGCTACAATGGGAAGTATAGGCTTTACTTCCTTAACAGTTGCGAATAATCACAAAAATATATATTCACAGAATCTTAGGAAAGGGATTTCAAAAAAAAAAAAAGAAAAGAAAAGAAAAGAAAATTACATCTTTACATGTCACTGTGCAACCTACTTCAAACTACGCGTACATTGATGAATCCATTACAAAACAGATACTATGTAAGCAGAAGGGGTTCAAAGTCCAATAGCAAGAGGGACCCCAGAAAAACACATAAATTCAGCCAGATAGAGCAAAGTAGGATTAGCTTATTTTAGAAAGGAGACAAATGAGAACGGCAAATAATGCATTGCATAGAAAAAGCAGATGAAGAATCATTGTTTCAGACTGTACGTACAAAGGACACAGGATGCAATTAAAAGGTGACAAACAACAGAGTCTCCAGTGAAGTCAGAGCAAGAACTTCAATCTCATCATAAACAAACGCAGGGACGCTAGAGGAAGTAAAAAGTTGAGAGAAACTCAATACTGCTGCATTTGGTAATGCTTCAAAGATCAAGAAGAGGAACATATGAACAATATCAGAAAATGATTCATTACCACAGGACGTCATTAAGACAAATGACTGGATAAGGCTCAGAAAGGAACTGGATACTTATATGTGTAACAGCAAATCCAAAGTTGTCTTAATTATCCCACGTTTTGGAAAGATATATTAAATCTCATCTTCCAAAATCTAAAAATCTCTAACTCGTTTTACTCTATAGGGAGTAAACTTCTCTACCTTCCTTTAAAATATTCCACACTGACTACTGTGAGATATGATGCTGGCCTGGGCAGCTCTAATACTCCAGTGTACCAGTTCAAGTTGACAGTAGTCAGAAAATACTTAAGTCCACCTGCTTGCTTATTCCTGGATGCTGCTATTGCTCACACATGCATCCTTCCCTCTCCTTCCCTTCTTTCCCCTTCCTGTATTTTGCTAATCTATACAACTAGTGAAAATTAATCCATTCTGTCTTGATAAACCTGGGAATATGTATCCCAGATCCACTACACAAGACAGATGACCGCAGGCTGAAAGAAGGTGATACTCTGTTACTTGTGTTTTTTGTTGTTGCTTTAGACCTCTCAATTCGTAAGCTTCCCTTTTCCAAGAGCTTGAGACCAGCAAAGCAGATATTAAGGCAGACAGGAAAGGAGGTTATGATAAGCTTTCAAGAAGTTCCCTTCTTTCCCCTACCCAGCTGACAGGAAATTTCTGACTCACTGACCACCTCCTGAGTTACTTAATATTTATGTGGAAAGCAATGTTCTGTACCTCTTTCCTGACTTGGATGGCATTTGGGGAGGAACCTAGAGAGCATAGTTTTGGCAAAATGCATACAATCTGTGCAGGTAAAATTAAAATATTCCACAACGCTCGGAAGTGCTCGGAGTGCTGGACACCCAAAGGGTAAACCAATCTCAACAATTATTAAATGGAATTCTGAATGCTGTAATAGCATCAAAGGTATTCTCAACTGTTACTCTATAAATGACATAATCTGTAAGCTCTTTCAGTTGAAAAACTATATAGGATTCACACTCAAGGTAACTGACAAGCTATCTAACTTTTCTGGCTTTGTTCCCTGAAAAAAGTGTCTTATGCTCTCCGTAGGGGTGGCTGGCCATGGCAGGTTGCACTCCGACTGAAGTCATCTCATGGTGATGGAAGACTCTTGTGTGGTGCCACTCTCATCAGCAGCTGCTGGGTCCTCACGGCTGCCCATTGCTTTAAGAGGTAGGTCTGACTTCAATAAACAGGAATATTTTCAAACTATTTCATTGTTACAGGTATAGGCAAAACATTCTAGGCCAAGCGCATTTGAAAACTGTTCCAAAGAGTTGTTTTTTGATTTAAAAAACAAAACTAGAGAACCTCCTTTCCCCCTAAATACAAAAACCTATTATGTTGAAATTGTTCTGCGTCTTTCATTCTCGCATTACACAACAGAGCGCTTTCACCATTCAGCAGATTTATACTCAAAACTTCAGCATTTCCAAGGAAAGATATAGATAATACCTCTGACATGTTAATGCAGCTTACTGTTCCAACAAACCTGCAGCATATGGTAGGCTTTCAGGTTATAGTGAGGTCCACCGAGCAAATGCCAAACGCAGGGGCTGTATGTTATATCCTGATGTTCCTTTTGGCAAAGGGACTTTGCCTACTGGCAAGGGATGGACATTTTTATTGTATGATTTCCCTGACTTGCTGCACTGGTCCACAAAAGCCCATTTTAGGGCAAAGCATTATTATTTATTCTGTTGAGTTTAAAAGGAAAGTAAATCTGTGCACTGGATGCTATTGAGACTGAGCAGTTTTGCTTAGTTACCAATAGGTTGCAGCAACTGCCTTACTCTGTTATTTTCCACTACATAGAGAATTGTGCTTTTTGTAGCCATCTAAATAAAGTCCTATCCCCTTTAGCAAAACACCTTCAGCAAAACAAAGAAATAATTGTCTAAGCTGCTATACTTGTATAATTTTCTAATACTGATGTCTAATACAATTGAATTCAGCTTCTTTCCATATGTTTAGCAACTGGTTTTCAACTTACCCTTCCCTTATAAACACAATTGATCTACCTGGTCTAATTTCTTTCGCAATGCTCCATATTAAGCTATGATCTGGCTTTTCTGAATGTCTTCTCCCATTTTTGCATAAGCAAGTATTTTGTTACTGATGATTGCATTTAGTTTTTATGATAAGCCCTCTTCAGTATTTTTGACATCAGGAATTCACTGCCAATTAAATTACTGCAGTATGAAAACACTGAATTGGAGGTCAATGTAATATTTTAAGCTTTCAGTAGCAATTATTTCATTCAAACTCCTACAAAAGGTTGCAAAATTGGCCGGAACAAAAGTGCAGAACTGCACTGCAGTGCTGCGGAAATTTGCTATAATTTGCCTGAGTGGGCTGCAAGTGTTTTAATTTTAGACTTTGGCCCTTTCTTCTTGCACATTGCTAACGAAAAAGAAGAGGCAGACACACGTTTTTACTGAAGTCAAGAGAAGCAGTTACCTTTGCTTAGCGCCAGATGCACAACATCTTTTCATTTTCCCATTTCAAGGAAGTCATGAGGGACTTCTCTTGGTAACATTTCACGCTGAAATGGTCACACTGACTAAAATTACTGCCTACTTCCACTGATGCCCCAGTTGTTTTTATTAAACTATGAAAACACTTGAGTTGCTACCATCAAAATTTAGAGTAAAATGCCTTCCTACTCCCCTGTTCACCTCTATAGTGGTTACTGAGGATGCAAGTTAAAGACTTGAGAAGGCCTTTTATCAAAGACTTGAAAACCTAGCAGTCCCTTCTGTAATTTTACCTTAAAGGGAAGAAAAAAGGAGGTCACAGGAAGCAAGCTATATATTTTTTAGGTGCACATGCAGATCTTAGTTATGCAAGTCTTCTCCTTAATAGAAGGCTTTCACAAAGTTCAGTGAAACAGGTTAGTATTGCTGCGTTGCCCTGCTGCAGTTCCACTGCCTTCTTACAGTAAGTACTCCTTGCAGAATATATTACCTGCTCTTCCCAATGGCTTGCTTGCTTAACTGGGGCTCCAAGTCATTACTGAACGTGCTATGAAGCTTTCTATTTTGCATCCTTTTCTGAACACCCACCTACCAGGGAGTGTTATGGAACAAGAGCAGCATGGATGTGGGACTGATAATCCCACATCTGGGCAGTCACTCCAGGGGCTGTTAGAGGCTATCCTAAAACTGTTCCACTTGGTCTGAAGGGCCAAAGTACTGTTTTGCCCTGCTCAGATTTTAAGATTGCAAATCCACCTTTGCTCCTTTCTCAGAGGACTCTGTAAAAAGCAGCTTGATTAAGCCTAAGAATCTGACCTTTTAGTGGCACACACACAGACACAACTGTTTGAAAAAAATCTATCCCAAATGTTCTTCATGCTGATTGAGGCCTTGCATTTAAAACCATGCAACACAGAATCTAAGCATGCAACTCTCAGAGCCTGTAGATGTGCTACTGTTTACTGTAAAAGAGAGAAGGTACCTTTGGCTCTGACTTGCCATTGGACAGACTGGGCTGAACTTCCTAATGATCTCAGAGTGATTTTAAGGGGCTACGTTTCCAAGAGCTATCTACAGATCAAGTGCCTTCTTCACGTATTTTCCAGACAGACAAAAGAAAAAAGCCAGTATACTGTTTCCCAATACCTGAAAACCAGCGCATCGCTTAAATAACAAGAATGGGCTAAATTATACGGGGGATAGGAATTAAACACAATTTTATGCACGATGGTAGGGTTTGTTCCTCAGCAGTACAGCAGCATTATCCAGTTTCTGTGATTTCATACACACAAAATTTGATTTTGATGCAAAGTTGTAGCGATATTGGAAGCTATTTTTCCTTTACAACCTGCCCACTATTGTATGCATTGTTTTGTCCTAAGTGATTCCGACAGCTACAGGGAATTTGCAGCTGTAGACATAAACAAATGTTAACTTTGGATGATTAGAAATGCAAGGCATGAAATAAAAATGAAATTATAATGACCATAATGTCATTTTAGGAAATACTGGAACACTGTACAGTTCTAATAATATAACTCTTACCATAAGTGTTTCTTTGAGCACTCCCAATTGCCGACATACACTTCAGCATAGCACTAGTAATCCTGTTTAGAACTGGGGAGCCTGAGACACAGTGGAATTAACTACCTAGCAACACACCAGAGACCAAAGTAGAAGCTGACATTAAAATTCATTTTTTTTAAGCCTAGCAGGAAGACTTCAGGTGTGCCTTCAGCGTCACTACATCACTTGACTGGCAGAAGGAGAATGCTAACATGGGGGCTGATAGCTAATTTGACCTCCAATTGGAGAGGAAATAAACGGGCAAGAAGGTGCTAAGGACAGCACTGCTAGGTTTCGCTATAACGTAAAGGCATAGCCATCCTAGCCCTACGAGACGGTGGTAACACCCTGAAAGCTACATCATCTTCTGCCTGGGAAGCACTCCCAGACTCCTCCTCTGCCTCTGCTCTTCAAGTTACGTGATATGTGTATGATGGTTCTCTGCCATTTCATAGGTGACTTGTAGGTAAGGAAGACTAGAAGTCCCTAGACGAGCTAGCTGTTTTCGCCTCTTTTGCCTACTGATACTCTGTGACAATATTTACACGTGTGGCAAATAGGTTACTACTGGGGGGGGGAAGATCTGTAATTGTCTACGCGTGAAAACGTTAGTTTTAAAAACGTTAGTTTTAAACAGCCGTGTGTGTGTTAGTGTGCTCAGAAGTAAGGTAAATCTGAGATTGCTCATTAAGCCTCCAACTACAAGTCTTGTAGCTAATGAAAAGTTCTATATATTTGCATGAGAAGCAGCATTTTTCATTCTATAAAGTCATGTTAAAATTAGTGCATTTAATTAAGGTAGGCTTTCTTGAATACTCATTTTTCATTATGATTCTAAGAATTACCATCATCTGTAGCAGAAAATTAGCAGGACTTAATTTAAAGAGACTACTGTTTGCTTGTTAAAATCAAGGATATAACATTAAATAGAAACTGCAAGTTTTCTCGTGTACTATCTGAGACGTGGCTGATAGGAGAGCACTCATTACCACTGGTCATAAGCTACTTTGCTCCACGCCTCGGGCTTCTTCATGAATCAAAACAAACAATCAAAATGAAGTTACTTTGATTATCAAACCAGTTTTGGAAGAAAGTGTTTTCATTTCTGATGTAAATTCCAAAAATATATAACAACATGTTTGTGTCTTTGTACCACTGACATCCACAAGGTTAAAGGAAAACACAAAGAGCTAACCCCTCCCATTGCCCTGAATTTCATTAAAGATAACTGACAGAGAAGTAAATCATGCACTTGATGTTGCAGGTAAGGCCTATATACTAAAATACAGAAGCATCCATCACATTAAAAAAAAAAAAAACCACACACACACCAAAAAACAAAAAAACCCCAGATTTATACCAGGTTAAAAATTACTCTTCTCTATTTGAGACACAAGTATCCACTGGACTGCTGAAAAACTCATCTGGAAAGGACTGTGTTTGTGTTTATTTGTATATACAAAACCTGTATATCAATGTACACAACGGTTAAATTACCTCAGCAAATACTTACTGCATGCAAAAAAAACCCCATTTAAACTCCATGAGCAACCCGCATAGCACCAATAAGTCACCCAATATGTGACTTAACACACGGAGCCAAAAGTGTATCTATAATTATATGACAGCATTTTCAGTGACCTTTCGGGAATGTATTTGACAGATTAAGTCAGGCAAAAGGTATTTATATTCAATGCTAATGACCTCATACATTCCTATTCTAATAGGATGATGCTCAAATGTATTCCAAAAAAAATGCTAAAATATTGGTTTCTAATATTCCTTAGAGATCATATTTAGCAGTGTGTTGTGGCGTATAGAATTCCATTTGGAATGGAAAGCTTTTAAATGCAATGAGATCAACAGTTATAAACAATGACTGTAGCAAGAGTTATCAAACTGTTTAGTATTGCCTAAGCGACAAAGGAAACAGCATAACGTTACTAAATTTACTGGGGTCAGTTGCTGTATCATTTAGATTCCTAAACGGAATGTTATCACCCAGTTATGACAGACATCTGAGCAGAAAAATAGTACTGAATGAGATGTCAACAATAACAAAAACAAAATTCAACTTTTTAAGCGTTTTTTTGTATTTAGGTTAGAATAATTCAAATGAAAATAATACAAGCCATTTTACTGCAACAGTAAGTACTTTCTGTATCAGCTTCCTTTTATAATTCACTCTGAAGAATATAGACCCTACTAAGTTGGCTAACACAACATCCGAGATTGTTCATTTGTAATCTCACTTTGTGTGAGATATGACACCAGAGGAAAAGTATTTGCCAATATAACCCATTCTAGTGTTGTTATACTTTTGACACGCCAAGCGTTATCCCTTTTTTGTAAATAAATTTTGTAAAAGTGAAAGAAGATCATGTCTGACTAACCATTCAGCTACCCTACTACCCTAGGCTGACCTTGTCCACTTCAGAGAGGGGCACAGGAGCTGTGCTGCCAGTGTGTAAAACTTTCTATAGAGGGGTGTTTTATTCCTCTGTTGTGAGAGTTTCATGGAAGACCACTGCACTGATTAGCTTCTACAATAAAATGAGCTACCAGGGTCTGTCAGTTTGATTTTGATAGTATTCAAACCACCTTATATATCATAGTGGCATGCTTTCTGTCAAGCAAACAAGCACAACATGGGTAGGTGCATGAAAACAAAGACCAAAGTGAGAAATACAGATTTGGTACCCTTGACTTGGTAGCATCTCATTTACTCTCTTGCTGCAATGAATTCAGAAATCTTTAAGGTCTTTTCTAGGAAATACTTCACCTGTGAGGTTATAATCCCTTCACATGATGAGATAATAAACATCATTTATCATATATACATACTAAACTGCAGATGCAACTTTGTGTACAACACACAAGATTAGACTAAGGAATCAGATTAATTTCCATACATTCTCCATAAGGAATATTTCCTCTCCTCATTGTACATTTATATATGAAGATGTTTATAACTTTGAATGCCATAGTTTTGCCAAAGCATTACTGGAAATTTTTCCACAGGGCCAAGAAAATTTGTTTTGCGAGTCTATATGTAAACATGCTAAAATCAAACTCTCAATTATGGTTTCTAGAGAATTTCCCCAGAATAATAGTGAGCAAATACATATATCTTATTCAGTACAAACTGCTACAGCAATGGCCAAGATATATTGTAAAGAGGCGTAAGTTATTCTTTAAAAAGCCACTTTCACAAAAGTAATACCAGAAAAAAGCTGTATGAAGTAACAACTACACTCTGTAATACTTTACTTACTGAAGATGTGTGCATCCTTATTGTATGAAGGAAGGTAAAACAGGTAGGAGAAAGACTTGCCCAAGGTTACAGATCAGATCTGAGCACTGCTGTAAACACAAGTGTTTTCAAGCCAGTGCCAGATTATACTTTTACAGCTGACAACTCGCTTCCACACTCAGAATTGTAATAATAAAAGTCTGGACTAAGTGTCTCAGCAAAGTATGGTAAGATTTGCCCTTTCTGAAGTAAGGTATGCAGCAACAGGGACCCAGAACACATTCGTCGATGTCAGAGCAGATATTTCTGGCAGGCAGCAGAAGACAAGGATTTTGACAGATGATTTGTGAGGACGCAGAATTCTGGATTTCACTGATGTCACAGTTCAGATGGCCAAATATATATGATACATACAACTCCAGAAACCAGCTGAGACCTGAAGGTCTTCACTTTTCTGCAGATATCTCCCTAAGAACAAGCAAAAGGGACGTAGCAGGTGCCAACCCGACTTCCATGGGAATTTTGCCATTTACTTTCTCAGGAAAAAGAACTGAACTGAGAGGACTTAATGGAGTTTTTAATACTGGAGGAGGACAGAGGACACAAAAAAATCTAGAAGTGTATTAAACATCTAATGAGAAAGAATAAGAGACAAACTTAAGTATTGTTAAAAAAATTCCAAAGAAATACCTCAGCTCTAGAAACTTCGAGGGGGTGAATGTAGGATGTCTCGAGAACCAGGATTCATGATTCTGTCTTTTCTGATATTCTTTTCCTCTTCATGCTCTCATTACTTAGTGGAAATTTCCTAATAAAAATTGATTCAGTGATCAGCTAAAAAATACTAGCACTTTTAGGGTCAAAACAGAAATATATTAATAATGTGACACAACAAACAGTTTTGTTTTGTTAAATATCTGTGAGATAAACCTATTGATCCACAAATTAAAATAAGGTAGTTATTTCTTCAGGGAGGAAATGAACAATTTATTTGGTTGAATATACAGCTTAATTGTTCTCATTTCCCCTCTGAGATTAAAAACCAATACGAACTTTTTTTTTTAAAAAACACCTCTGTAAACTATAGCAAGTCTGAGTCAAACGCAACTTTTCATTTCCAGCTGCAATAGAAATTTTGATTTCTAACCATGAGGGGAATATAGTATATAGAGGGGGAGCATTATGAAGGGGGTCCTGGAAAAGGTTTTGCAATAGGTAAGTTTCTTCATAAATGTTTGGTCATAGTTTGCAACCTTCTCTTCTTTACAAGCCTACAAGAGGGATTTTGCTCATACAAGACCTGAAGGAGACATGCAGAATTTGACAGAGAAAGCCTTACAGGCAGCCAGGGATGCAACGTATAGTCACAAGAAGTATTCAGTGGTACAGCTCTATATTGTTCAGAAGTTTTCTCTTCAGAAGTTCCTGCTTTTTTTTGCTGTTCCCTGAGCAAGCCTTAGTAAACTATGAAGATCAGCACATTGCTGGAGGGTATAAAAACACAAGGGTAGGGTAGGTGACTGAACACTGTAGTGTATTTTCTGTACATATATTAGAAGCTTCCTTTTGAATGCTGTGAAGAAAAGGGAGAATATATATATATATATATATATATTTTTTTTTTTTTCCTAAGAATGGCTGCGTCCTACAATCTAAAAATCTCAAAAGGCTTGCATAAAAACACTTGCTGCAGCCACAGTAATCTCTAAGGTCATTTAGTCCACAATGTTAGAGATTGTGATCATTTTTATATGCACAACAATTGATTCAGATTTACAGGCTGTCACTTCAAGAACAGAAGCACTTTTATATATATTTTTATATATAACTGTATATATTTATGTCTATTTGTATTTACATATGCTTCTTTTTCCTTATTATCACTTTACTTAAGAGGTTTTTATGGCAAGTTATCTCTTCCTCTAGAATTCAAATAGCATTCCTTCTTCAAAAGACTTTTTGCAACTAACCTACAAAACAAGCTTGAGCACTGTTTTCATTTCAGGAATTATTTGGGGTGTCACAATGTTATGTGCTCATAAGTTTTCATTATTATTATTCATTTCATTATTATTATTGGCATTTTGTGTTACCCTTGCTAGAAATATTTATGATGAGCTCCTTGCTTCCACCTTTAAAATAAACGCTAATTGTGACAGATGGCCATAGGAAACCCTGCCTATGAAAGCATCATACAAAAAAGAATCTAGCCTTATCTGAAACTGCAGGAAAAGTTATACGGTATTCTTTAGGGTATGTTAGAATGTCAGTTGAATTCTCTTAAAAAAAAAAAAACCTGCTGGTACAGTTATTTACCTGAGCAATTAAAAAAAAAAAAAAAAAGGACACTGATCAAATCTGGCTGTATTTCTAGGACCTGACTTTGCCTGAGTGACCCCTATTTGTTTTCATCTCAATTTCAGGTATGGCAATAACACTAGGAATTATGCCGTGCGAGTTGGAGATTATCACACATTGGTACCAGAAGAGTATGAGGAAGAAATCAGAGTCCAGCAGATAGTGATGCATGAAGAGTACAGGCCTGACAGCAGTGACTATGACATTGCGTTAGTGAGGCTACAGGGTCCAGAGGAACAATGTGCCAGATTCAGTACCCATGTCTTACCTGCTTGCTTGCCATTAAGGCGAGAGAGACCACAGAAAACTGCTCCTAACTGCTATATCACTGGATGGGGTGACACAGGTAAAAACATTTTAATGATTTCTACCCACTGACCTTACTACCGGAGACTGCTTGTTAAAAAAACATTACTGAATACTTTTTTTTTTATTTTTTTAAATAGGGGAATATTTTTTCTCCTGATCCTTAGGAGATCAGGAATAAAAACATTTTTTGCTTTTGGCATTTAATTTGTGTCTAAAAAGTGCAGTGAGATTAACCATGTCACTCTAAATCACAGAACAAGTCATTGAAATGGCCTCCTCAAGCTTGACAAGCGCGCGATTGAAAGGCTTATTTGTTGACAGGCACACCTTGACGAGCAGCTTATAGTCCCCTGTTGCCCAGCATAACAAACAACTCTAAAATATTTATGGTTTTTGTCTTTAAGTACAAGGAGTATTTTAGAGAGCTTTTTTTAAATGATGCTACTTCAACCAAAAAATGGATAGAAAACATGTACCTAATAGAATTTTAAGTAGCATTTTTTAGTCTCTCATATTATTGAAAATATCAGCGGTTAGGTTTAAATAAAGGAACATCTTGCAAAACTTGGAGAGCCAGAACGCAATCTGCAATCCAGACTTTTGGAATAAACTTTCTCATTGCTTTTTAGGTGGCTACAAGATTCTCTTTCTTCAAAGGTCTTTGTCCTTTAAATATTTTACAAATTAATAACCTTGTTTTACTCTCGTTTTTTTATGGGGTTGACTACAGTACAAGACAGCAGTCACACTTGATCCTTTGTTTCACTGACTCAAACTGGCAAGAAAGCCAAGTCAAATATCACTTCTCTCTTTACATTGATTGATCTGTGCACGCGTGTGCAGATTTGTATATTTTGCATATTTGTACTTTTTTGCTAAAAAACAATAGTCAATTCATTGCTTAGCTCCATCTAGCACTTTAGACAACTCACTGAGTAAAGTGTAACGAAGCTCTATAATATTGCTGACTTGAGACTTCCATCTGAGCAAACATTAGCCGCTGCAATAATTAATTATGGTAAGAAACTACATCATTGCAGTATTTCAGTTGAAATTTCACACTTCCAATATAAATCAAACTTATTTTACAAGTATAGGATTTTATTTTTAAAGAAACTGGTTTTAGTTTCCTATCTTTCCAATTGGAAAGAAACACAAGTTATAGAAGAAAAATCCCAGGATTTAAATCTTGATATTTTACTTGGAAATTTTTTTAGTAAGGAAAAATAACATAAGGTCATAACATTACAAACATGCAGGTAAGGTCTTGAAAGGGATTAGAAGATTTGTCACTACTAATAAGCACACATGTTCAGCATACGTAGCAAGAAGGGCTGAAAGCACTTTATAATACTACTGATTTGAAATACTGACTCTTGCACAGCTTTTACTTAATATCAACATTTCCTAAAAGAAGCTAGCCTGATAACTTCAAAGGCTAATGTTACTTGCACAGTAGCAATGACAATTCTTTTTTAAAAAGGCCTTCTTTCAATTCTAAGTTAGAGGAACTATCCTTAGGAAGAGCCTGATGACGTGCAAAGTATCAAAACCACAGCAACATCACATTCTAAATACGAACAATTTTGCAGTTGATAAGTGTACATTTATGCCATGTCTGCCCTGCCCACCTAGAGCTGCTGTCCCACCACCCTCATCCTTCTGTTTTCCCCCTAAGAGGTGGAACACAGATTTACTCCACTAAAGTTATATTACTGAAAAAACCTGCTCCACCCTCTCCACCCAATGACAGCAATCATCCTAACTCTCTTCAGCACATTAGGAGCAAAGAAAGGTGCTCCAACTGTAGGACCAGTGAAAAGCAGTAAGCGTGGAGTAGCGAGTAGAAGAGACGACCTATACACAGAGGAGTAAGAAAGTAGTGCAATAACCTAAATACAGCACTGCTTATACAACGCAGGGATCACTACAGAAAAAGAAAATGCAAGGACAGGTTCTGCTCCCAGCAAAGTTAATTAGGTGAGGAAATAAGTTTTTGGAATGAGAGATTCCTCTGGCTAGGTTTATTAGTATTCTGGTGCGTAGAATATCAGGATTGTAAAAGAGTCAAATGATATTGCCCATCTCTAACAAAGTGCACTTGAAGCTCAACAGCGTTAGCTCTGCAGCTGAGGTGACCAACAAGCTTGCATATACTTACAGTATTTAATGATGATGATGTTGCAGCTGGGAAGCTGACAGATGGTGCAGCACTTGCCGTAGCTGAAGTAGATGGACTTGAACAGGTGACCTAGGAATGAAGCATTTCTGCAGTTTTAGTCTCCCCTGCTCAAACCTCCAAGGCATAGTTTCCCCATTTAAGTATTACAGCATATAGTCTTCTAAAACGCACTTCTGTCTTTTACAAAACAAACACAATTCAGCTGTGGAAAGATCCAGCACACATGAGGTGTAAAACGAAATCTTATTTAAATTTTAAGCTTTTTAAAAAAGTATTTAATTTGTATTCCATATTTACAGTATGTATTTAGTATTTTAGTACTATTGTAGTGCACAGCAGATATTTCAGCGTTATTTCGGTATTAAGTCACTTTATTTAATGACAAAATGGCATGAAGAACAGACAGCATAAATTGGATTAAATTGTATTTATGTTTCTGAGACCAAGCATCATGAGACAATTATTTGGGCCCTCTTTTCAGGGAGAGCCTATTCGAGAACATTACAACAAGCTGCCGTCCCTTTACTTCCCAAGAAGGTATGTGAAGAGCGTTATAAACAAAGATTCACAGGAAGAATGCTCTGTGCTGGCAACCTCCAGGAACGGAAACGTGTTGATAGCTGTCAAGGAGACAGTGGTGGACCACTGATGTGCGAACGTCCTGGGGAAAGCTGGGTTGTGTACGGTGTGACCTCCTGGGGCTATGGCTGTGGAGTGAAAGATTCTCCAGGTGTCTACACAAAAGTTTCATCTTTTGTACCCTGGATAAAGAGTGTGACCAAACTATGAATGTCTTTAATCAAACTTTGGTAATGAATTTTGAGGTAGGACAGCTTAAACAGCACACACAGTGCACAGCTGGGGCCCACAACAGATGGGAACAGACACATTTTCCCAATTCATATAGTTTCCTTTTTGTTAAATCCAAGCTGTATAAACATAACCTTTCCGGTTAGGGATTAATATGCAGACAAAATCCCTCTGAGGAAGTTTATATTGCATGAACAAGTTTTCACGTAGATAACGGCAAAAGCGATCTTTATCTCAGAGTAACATTGGAGCAGGACGGTTGGAGAGTTCACTACAAGATTCACTGTTTGCAGAAGACTGCAGTAGCAGTTATTCATGCTCCAAGCTTCTCTAGAATTACAGATCTCAAAATTCATTCCCAGTCTAGTCTATTTAATCAGTCCTTGGCTGCTTCCCTATTTATTATTCCTGTGGTCTTATACTAGCCCTTTAATTTTGTCTCATGTTTCATTCAGCTGATGAGATCACTCACAGGTTCATTTCTGGTTATGATTCTGTGTATGCATTAAAATGTTAGAAGGAAAACTAATTGCCAATAATCAGATCCCCAGCTATTCTGATAAACAACTCTCAGAGCTTAGTTCCTAAAGCACATTCCCAAGCGAAGTGGTTAGTACTCTGGAAGTAATTATGTTCCCATTAGAAATCCTGCACAGCTACGTGAGCTATATCAAAAAACCTGCACTCTTTGAATTTCCAAAAGAAGACAAATGATATTGATCTAGAGGGACCGTTCCCCCTACCTCCTACTCCCCTCCCCCCCCAATTTTTAGCACAGGCACACAATGATATACATGCAGCATTTTTGAGAGAATTTAGGTTTTCCTATTTGCCACTAGCTGTTGGTATAGTATTCATCTCAAACATCCCAAATCTCTATCAAAAATTAAAATAATTCAAAACAAGCTCATAGATCACTGGCTTTGGAGAGGCTTTACTCAAGTAACACCAGGAATCTCTACCAATCCCACAAGGAAAAGTTATTGCAAACATGTAGAATGCAAGTATTAAGAGATGTTGAGCCAGTACACTTCTGAAAAGGTCTATGGGCTTAAATGACAGTTTTATAAAACAAAAGAATACTTAAAAAACTCTTTCGAGTTTAGTTGGAATACCAGTTCAGTCTGACCTGACCAGAAAGGGAAAACTACCTGAAATCAACACCTGCAAAATACTTGTGTATCTTATCTAGCAACTACTCACATTTGTCATACTAATTTACAACAGTAAAGGAAAGGATAGTTTAAGTCACATGGTCCCTAATGTCCTTTTATATTCCAGACATTATTTGACATCTATGACTAAAAGAGCTAGTCTTCAAAGACTTGTTATAAAGAAAAAAAAAAAAAAGTGCTAACATACCTTGATTCCCTTTGTCAATTCCTTTCATAAATTCTGTTCCCAAGGCTATGGAAACCTTCATGGTTTATTATAAAAATACATTGATAAAAAGCGACTTTTACTTAGCATAGCAAGAGATGTATTGAACAACTGTTTACTAGTCTTTTAGAAAGGGCCACCCCATTTAACAACTTTATCGCACAGAAGACAAGTAATTACCTTTCTAGTGCAACCCTGCTCGGTATCAAGCTAATCTTGGAAAAATCTGAGACTACAGTCAACAAAACAGGAAACTTCAGGGTTACCTCTATAATCCCTGTCTATAAAGCCATTTTGTCCGTCTACAAATATACTCTGTGTACTACATTTTGACAAACTTTTTTTTTAGAAGATGAAACAAACGCTCTGCGGGCCAACGAACACTCCAGTGTGAAAGATGTGGCAGTTGTGTGTCACCACGTTGTATGTAATTGTACAAGTTGTAACTACTAGAAACTGTTTTCCTGCGTTTCCCCTTCCTCAAATGCTCCACCTCTGACAGCGTTGTCTGGCCTTTTGTGAACAAAGTGGAATGCCTGTGTTCACGTGGTTAAGTAGCTTATCATCCACTTCTGTGTGCTTCCATGCCTTCCATGCTCCAGTGTTGTAACAAGTACCCAAGACAACTCAGCTTGCATACAAAAAATGGTGATAACATTGCAGAAGCCCATGAAATTGGAGACTTGGTACTCAGTTTCTCTCCAGACCTCAAACTGATTTTCAAGGGCCGTGACTAGTCTAAATACCTTGTTGGCATTGGTGCTAAGCTAGAATACATGAGGTGCTTTTACACAATATTTAAAGTTTTCTGTAATTCTGCACTACTGGAATAGCATGAAATATTTTATTTAAAAACATGTAATAAAATCACAGTGCAATGACCACCTACTGTTAGACCTATATGAAACACTCTGTTGGTGAACTTTACATTCATTCATATTTTTACTGCTTATACATATCCTTTTTAATTAAAATGATAGAAAAGGAAATACATTTGTCAAAAGATATTTACTTGTAGCATCAAAACTTTGCTATACAAGGCACACTATTTTGAGGCTTGTGATGTAGGCTGTACAGTGCAGTACATTGTGTGTGATGTATAAGGAGAAATTTTTATTTTCTTTTAAAAGCTGCACCGCAGAAGTATCATACTTGGAAAAGAAAAAATCAAGTCTGAATACTAAGCATAGTAAGCTGCTTAGGTTTATTACAGTAGTTTGCCAGTTTTGCTTAGTCAGCTCTTTTCATAAGATGCTTTAATAATTACTTAGATTTAAAAATGCTGCACTACTGTTTTCATGCAGACAGCATGCTTTTTTAGTTTCTCACATAAAGTGGATTTGTCTTACATTATGCCATTTACATTTTTGTTCAATGAGCCTGATGATGTAAGCGTATACAATAAAAACTGCCACACTGACTAGAACTCTTCTTCATGAATTCTGTGAATAACGTATAAGCAGATGCAGGAAGCTCAGATGGACAATCTTGCTGCGAGTTTTCTTAAGTGAAAGCAGGTGCTCTTGAAAATATCGTGACTTCATTTTCTTCAAAGCGTATCAACTCTAGGCCATTTTCCCCAGAGATGCAAGTCTGCTCTATACCATGTAATTTCCAGCACTTTGTGTACTTTAATTTAGAACAGTTATCAAAAAATAGCCTAGCCTACACTCTCAAAACTGCCTAAGAATTTTTCAACCCCTGCCACCTTCGCCTTTGTTCAAGTTTTCTGAATCACATGTGGCTGCAGAAAACAAACTAACCCTACTGTCCCATGCTCGCTCTCTTTTGTTTTGTTATGAACAGGCTGGTCACAGGGCTAATGGTCACAGAAACTAAGAAAATATTTAGCACTTCTATTACCAGATCAGATGACCATGGTAAACACCGAAATGTAAACTCTTCCAGTATCCCAGCATTATGGACATTTATAGTTGGACGCAATCTCTTTGAACTTCAAAGGTTTTGTAAACAAATCTCCACCTTCTTGCATTAAACTGCACAACTGCTTAAAACCCTACCAACTTCACTGTAAGAGAAACATTATTCCTCAACTTGCCCATTTTCCAGAGAAGACAGAGGAGTATGTTGGACACGAGAAGAGTGAAGCACTACCGCAACTGACACACACAAAACCCATTTCACATGCATGCAATCTTGACCCTGAACAGCTTCTGGATGTAAAGGCGCACTGCGCACAAGCACTGAACCACAGATGAACCAAGAGTCCTTCTCCGTTGTATAGAGACGATCTCTAATTTCAGCTATCTAGTTTTTCTGGGAAAAAAAACAGAGATGCTGTAATAACTTATGTTGAACAATAGGCTAGTCCTGAATCAATGTTTCCTCTCCTTTTCAGTGTTAAGATACACAAGTGCTAGAATATTTACACTCAAAAAAATGCCACTACAACTTCAGAATATCATCATTCACCATACTGAGAAGACTAGAACAATTAGGCTCAAGTAGCAGGTATCAGTACAACAAACAACTCTGAAAGCAGAGTTTATGGTATCAAGAAAACTGTTTTTGTGCTCCACATTGCTGGGTAACAGCAATGAACTGATGTATTAGACACCAGACCTAGCTCATTACATACCCACTCACATGCAATAGTTTCTATTTCCTTTTCATTTCTTTTCCACACCGATCACAAAGTGACCGTGTTGCAAATGCAACGTCGAGCAACCACAAACAGGGAAAGGACGAGGCTAGGATGATTCATAGAAGTAAATGTAATAAAATTAAGTTTAAAAAAGGAATTTACCTTTGTAAAGTGTTAAAAAAAAAAAAAAAGGACTGGGTTGGGTGAAGATGACAACAAAGCTGGAGCGGTGTGAGCCACAGATGTAACAGAGTGCAGAAAAATAAGGAGTCTCAATGAAGGTAAGGGCAAGATGTAACAGGAATAGATAGGTGAGAAAGACAGGAAAACAGTTACTTGGTAATAGGAATTAAATGTTAAGAGAAATCCTGAAAAACAAGCTAGCTCAAGCCAGTTATTTTTTTTGAAGTGGGGACGTGAAAAGCTTCAATATGTAAGCACACCTGTTTCTGTTACTCAAAGGGAAGCAGTTTTTTGTTCGCTACCCTCTGCGCACACGACTGGGTGTCCATGGGAAGCTTGTCACAGGTAAGGCAACGCAGCCTCACTAAGGGCACTCAAAACTGCTAGAAGATACCCACAGCAGCAATTCTCAACCATAACCTTGAGAATCTTCCCCCCCCTTGACTCAAACCTTGTGTTTTACACAAACCTTGTGTTTTATCTTAGCAAATCCTAAACATTTGACAAAGGGGCTCAAAACTGAATATTCACCAAATCCACCCCAGAAGCCAGATCAAGCCGCTGGGCCAATTCATTTGGCCTGTGGTCTGCTTGCTACTGCCTATTCCTGAGAATCTTACAGCTGCAACTCAAGGATGATGCAACTCAAGTGCAAATACCCAGTCACCTCATTGGTTGGCTCACACAATGGACTCACAAGACAGGTAAAGTTACTGCCAGTTTCACAGAAAAGGATCCTTCTGCTGTTAAGTGGCAAAAATTGGACTGAGTTTCGGAGGGGCAACTTGCTCAAGAACTGGATTCTCATTTCTTTACCCCCCCCAGATCAATAAAATGTTGGCAGCTATTGACTGAACAAAACAAAGGTAAAAATTCAAAGGATGTGGGATAACAAGTGTCAGACGACTGTTATCATCAAAATGCCAGACCATAGCTAAAAGTTGACATTAAGGCCTAAACTTTTAAATATTGATTCAGTGACTGCTAAAGAAAACGCTTCTCTATAGGCCTTCGAATCACCAAGATTTTTATTCCGCACTATTACTGTATCAATGCTTTCCTGATCCCTGAACTAACTGGTCCCCCAAAACCACCTCTGCCTCTTGCTATTCATCTTTGCCTGTATGTGGTTTTCTTTATAGGATGAAAGTCAGTCACAGTAAAATGGCCTCAGGAACAGCAGGCCACTTTGCAGAAGACTGCTGCTAGAAGAGCGATCCCATCTGCTCCCAGGGGTTGAGCAGACCTTCCTGCCCTCACCTGGTCTCTGGAATAGCAGCAGCTCCCTCCCGACCACTACCTGCCTGGAATTTTCTTGTTTAAGATAGGCAAGTAACTTTGCCCTTGCAGAACAGATGTGCTTACTTCGTTTCTAGAAGCAGTAAGGTTACTGCAGAAGTCCTGTTTCCTAGAAAAAACAGAATTTACAGTGCATGGTCAGACTGTTGGCTACCAGGCTTTGCAGGCACAAACTTGGACGCCTAAGCAGGACAGATGTCATACGATAGGGCCGCAAGCAGAGCTGCTTAAACGGAAACAGAGTAATAGCACACCACCAACTGAACAGGTGTAGCACTACTTATTATAGCTTCACACAGAATATACATTCCGCTATACTTTGTCCTCCCTGGCAGGAAAAGTAGATGATAAAAAAAGAAAAAAAGAAGTTTCCTATGATGACAGCTCCCTATGGCAGTCTACTCCAGAGCATAACTAACCTTCCCATCTGAAGTGATTTATTGAGATCTAACACTCGCTGCAATTTAAGTCCAGAAGCACCCCACCCCCTCCATGGTAAATACAATCTTTCTCCTCTTCTCACTTGCCAAGTACTTAGTGATAAGTACACTGTCTACCTGCCCCTTGTTCTAGCTTCATAGATTTTTTTTTGTTTGTTCATGAGTCCTCCTTCTTGTCCCCCTTTGATGCGTCCAGTTTGGACTAATTAATTTCAAGAAGTTTCCTTATTAGCTGGAAGATACTCCACACCAAAGTTGTGCCAGCAGAGAGCTGGAAAACATGCCTTATTTAAGACAGTAAGCTTGGTTATACACCACAGAATGAAAACACTTAGCTCGTCAAATTCTGCAACCACTCACCATCTTCCATATATCCTTCTCTTGAATATGGAAGAAATAAAATATCCCTCAGCAGCTGATACTGAAAAAGCAGTTACATTCAAGACAAGATTTTCTCCCCTGCAGAAGTAACTTCTGAGAGAAAGATCATCTAAAATGGCTTCCAAACAGCATTATCAGCCACAGTCAGTCACTGCTGTGGTCTCTAACCATGAAGTGCAAATGTAAGAACCAACTATACACCAAGCAATTTAGCCACACATCAGTAATTCCAGAGGACACATGTAGGTATAGACTTGGTTATCAGCAGTGTTGTAATGAAAAAGTGACACTTGCAGTGAAAGTCAGCGTCTCTTTATTGACTCATTGATACACTTGAATAGTTTACATTGGCATATACATAAAAACTATGACTGTAACTGTTCATGTTCACTTTCTAAACTTTATACAAACTTACCTTCATCGTATGGAGCACAAGATTTAAAAACATTGCAGTAAGGTCAAACACAAAACACACTACAGCTCAGCTACTAAAGTCAGCATTAACAGAATTGTCTGAAACGTAGCAACAGCCATGAGGTAGGAGTAACAAAAAAATCTGCAAAGTAGCAGAGAATGAGCTGGTCACCCTAAGAGCATTCTTTTGTATTTGTGTACCAACGCTAAAGGCTAATTTCAGGCACAGTAAGGTACATCACAACCCCTCAGCGCTCTTGGTAAAGACGAGAGAAACAACAAAACATCTCATTCAGGCTCCAGGTCTGAACTTAATTAGAAAAGCTCATGTCTGTTAAGGCTGAGGAGAGATTAAGACCTAGCCTAAAATTAAGTCTTGCCAGCTCTGCTTGGTAATCAGAAGTATTATTGCTCAAAAAAAGCATCTATTCCAGATGATTAAACATATCCACTTCTAAGTAATAATTAAAAATTCTAGTCATAGCTACTCCTAAAATTTAAATGTGGAATTTACCCCATTGTCTTCTGTCATCATAACTGAAGAACTTCTGCCTCTGTAAAAAAAAAAAAAAAAAAAAAATACAATTTTGAGATGATTTAACATTGCTATTGAAAATACATTACATAACAGCAAAGATTTCTGAGAAGTATAATGCCCTCCTACAAGTTGTCAGCTTCTCTGAAACAAAGCTATCTGTAATGATTTGTCCAATCTCCCCTACCCCAGCAGTTCCAGGTCTCTCTTAATACTCTCTTGAGAGGACGCTTCTACAAACGGTCCCCAGAAGTCTGTGGATTCAAATGCCTCTATTCTGGCAGGCAAAAGTAGTTTGATCAGGATCTACTCTTCCTAGTATAGTGAACAAACCTAGACTCACGCTCAATTCTTTCTAGTTACACTAACTTTTGCTCTTGGATGTATTTTTTGTCCATTCAAGATGACTACATCCAATTCAAGCATTAAATTAATAATAATAATAAAAAAGCAAGCTTATACCTTAATCTCAGTGACAATAAATCTAATCTCAGCAGTTTAATCGCCAAATGTAATTGGCAAATTGAAATTATTCTCGCTCAAGACTTCGTTTTTAATGATTTATTATGTAATACATACTGCACATGTTGTTCTTCATGAAGAACTTCATCAGCTCAGATCCCGGTCTCTACTTCCAGCCTCTGTGCTCTTTGGAGGAAGAAAGGAAAGGAAAAAAAGAAAAGGCATTTAAGGACAGGGCCACAATCCCTTTTTGAGAGCAAACACAGAAGACGGACAGTCAATCCCACCGTGCCGCACACCTGCCTGCTCGGCGTGTTACTTGCTACAGTCAACTACTAATACCAACGAGATGGTAAAAGCCTTGCCAATTAGCAAGGTGCTGCTCTTCCATGTCCTGGAAGGGGGACAGCCACA